GTCAAGCACGCTGAAAAGTCTTATGTTAGCTTGTGGAGATCTGCAAGCATCCGTGCATTACAATTCACAAGCTCGGCGATACCTATCGAGGGGGTGTATCGGAAAGGGAGTTGTATCGGATGATAGTCACAATGCGATACTGCATCGTACGATACGATACATATCGTGTATAATATGCCCCAAAATTTGTAATTTTTAATATAAAAAAATGATTTGTGATTTAAATTTAAAAAAATAAAAAATATCATTATTAATAATGAAAATAAAATAAACATTTAATTTGTGATTTAAACTTAAAAATCAATCTGAAAAATCTGTATTAATAAATATTTTAAATTTCTTCAATCTTCAAAATAAAAAATAAATCAATAAAAAAACTTATTCAAATTAAAGCAACAAAAGGTTGAGTAAATAGAGCAAAAAGTGCCTTTTCAAAATATCTTTATTGATTTTGTTTTAACCTTATGAAGTCGAAAAGTCACTAATAGAAGCTTTTTACCAAAAAAAAAAGTCACTAATAGAAGTTGATAGTAATAATATTAGTCTTGATGATTGATGAGTAGGAGAATAACTGATTTGTACTTTAGTTACTTATGCATTTTGCTTATTGGATTCCTTTTGAAATTTGGATTTATATAATATTAATTATATTATATATTTTTAAATTATTTTTTATGATTTAACACAACTCACGATACATGACGCAACAAACTGGCCAAACAATATACTATACATATTGCGATTCAACAACCTTGAATTTCTGTATAATTTTGATGAAATTGGAAGCATTATGTAAGAAATAAGGTTAGGGTATTGAAGAGGGAAAAATTCTAAATTTGTCTCTTTTTTATTCAAATCTATGTTTTGATTGGTGAATTTTTAGTAGAGGAGGATTTCAAAACAGTTTAATCAATTGAGAATGTGGAGATTTTGAGTAGAAAATAAAATTTTAGGTTTTTTAGGTGAAAGAGAATCTAAAAAAAATACTTGAACTAGCAATTTAAAAAAATCAAAATTGAAATTCAAGAAAAAAATATTGAAAGACCAAAATCATGCATTTTTTTTGGGGTAAACATCATGCATTTACTATAATAGAATAAGGAAAAAGAGCAATTAAATATAAATTAGGCTTAGAGTTTGTTTGGCAAACGTTTTTTTTAATCTAAAAATTATTTATAAGCTAAAAGTTAAAAAAAAATTAAAAAAAAATGCTAAAAGTTATTTGGTGATTATTGTTCTCAGGGTTTTGAAGGAGGGATGATGAAATAATTTATTATTATAAGGATTGTTAGGGTAAAGAGTAAAATTGTTTAATATAAATTTAGAATAAGGATTAAACTGAAATATAAATATGAAAATTCTAAAAAGCTGACATATATATCCTAAAAAAAGCTTATCTTGAGAGCTTAGGGTTTCTTTTTTAAAGAAAAAAGTTGAAATAATAGGTGAACATATGCGATAAGGTATTATACAATTTTATTCCGGTTTTATGTAAGTAAATGAATGAACATCTTGAGAAGAAAAGAGAGTATTTTTTTTTGAATGTATCCACTTGAATATATTTATTTTTAAAAAAAAAGTAAAAAAAAAATTCCATTTAAACCTATATTTTTATTTTTCCAATTTTTTTGCTTTTTTTGGATTGGTGCATCGATAAAGGACAAGGAAATTATTATAAGAAAAAAAAGGACAAAGAAATATTGTATTGTTTCAGATTGATTAAGAAACAATGGGAACTGAGAATAATGTAGCTGTATTGAAGTTGACAACTTGAAGATTTGCATGAATGGTTGCAATCAATTATGAGATGAAGACATTGACAATAGTTTTTTTAAGAAATGAGGAAAACAGGAAAGTGAACAGGCAAGAGGAAAAATATTCCTTGTCTTGAATTCGGAGTGCACATTCATGTGCATAACTGTAGTCTCTGTACTCTCAAGCTCAATGATATGTGTCTGTAGCGATTAGCCCATAAAAGCAAAAGCAAAAAATAAATTAACATAAGAAAACAAAAAGATATTAATGCCCTGCCTGACACGCTTCTCTCTGGACCACTAACCATCAGTTTAGACAATTTTTGTATTAAAAGAGTACGTTACAGATAACTTATTTCCTACGAAATATCCCTGTCTGCGTGGATCTATCCCTGACTTTTTAATAGTATTTAATGTCATATGATTTATCAAAAAGTCATTGTCTTAAAATCTTTTTGAGTAGTTGTAATCATTTTATTTTATTCTCTAAATTTTGTTTTGGCTTAGAGAAATCAGATAATTACTTTTAAGACTTGTATCATTATGTCATTTAAGGAGATAGATTTTTTTTTTTCAGATATTTCAATCAAATTCGCAATTAATCTAATTCGAGACAGATTTTGGTATTAAGACTTTAAAACTCCTGCTAAAAATAATACTTGAGAGCAATATTAAAATTCCATTTGGTGTCATCAATCAACTACCATCATTTGATAGGAAATAGAACTTTTGTGATATTATTTAATATTGATCTTCTTTAATAATTACTTTTGGTTTGGTTTCAATATTCTCGTTTGGTCTTTTTGCTAAAAAGATTAGTATCAATTCTCTGAATAAGTCTTAATATTACAGGTAGCAGTATTTGACAACCTACGAAATTCTTCTTTTTTTAAAAGAGCTTAAATAGTGGTAACGTCCTTTCGGAAATGGATCTTCTAATGTGTCAAAAAAACATGATATGATCATGTGGAAAGATCATAACCATACAAAGATAAATCAACGGTTATGATTTTGTAACTACTTATTTTATCATTTTTTTTTCTCTTCCCTTTTTACCATTGACCCACCTTTGTATGGTTATGATTCTCACATAACATGATCATGTGAATTTTCACATTAAAGGATCCAGATCCCGTTCTTTCAGAGTTTGTGTCATTCCACGAGTATAATTCCTTGATCACTTTTGTAGGGATCTGCATATGGTTTTATCATTTGAGTGTCAAGTTATTGTTCCAAATTCAAATAACCTCTTTCTCCACTAGTCGGCTTGGTGCTCTTCGTATACTTGAGAGAATATATAGTTGTTGCCTCGTCTGGGGAATTATAAAAAATAAAAAAAATACTGATTTCATATGGCTCTAGACTTGAGAGTGATTGACTTGTCTCCATGAGAACCCTATAATTATTCTATGTCTTTGATTAATTGTGTAAGTTATGGTCTTTTTGTATTATGTGATGAATACATTTGAGAGGAAACGAGTCTTGGGATTTTTAAAAACACATGGTGGTTGTGTTTTAATCTTGATTTTGACAAAATTTATAATAAAATTAGTTTAAGTACTTAGAATAACATTATATATTGTACTATTAAATTAATAAGACTTTAAATTTCAAAGCGATATCAATTAAACTTTAAAAACTCTTTCCTTTTTGTAAATATTTTTTATATTTTCATTACAACAATTTTAAAAAGCATTTCCACTACAAGGTACTTTTAAAAAACGACTACATCATTAAAAAGAAAAAATAAATAAAGAAGAAGAATCACTCAAGAAAAAAGCTTTATGACATATTAGATTTAACTTTTGCTATAAAAGAAAGGGATTTGATTTTCTCATGTTAAATGAGAATTCAATTTTCATGTTGTAGAGATAAAAAACATGTGGGATCCAGATGTTAGAAAAAATTATATGTAGGACCCATGTCAGCACGGAAATCGAAGAGTGTGTAGGAAAATTTGAATTCTCATGTTAAATGGAAATTATAAAACCCTAAAAGAAATCACAATATATTTCAAAATGAGGGCTTTCATCAAAATTTAAATTAGTTTTCTGATTAACGGTCAGTAAGATTCAAAATTCACCCTACACAGACATCCCTTGCACAATCATAAAATTAGTGTTTAAAAACCCGGCTCGGCCATCGACTCGGCCGAGGTCAGGGGTCATGAGGTCACGGGTTCAATCGGGGAGGTTAAGGGGTCACTACGCTGACCCGGTTTTATATATTAAAAAAATATAAATATATATATATATATATATATATATATATATATATATATATATATATATATATCATATATGAAATATTAAAAAATAAATCACCTATCATCAAAGATTCAAAATATACTTACATAATTCACCAATTACGACCACAAGTCAATATTACACAACCTAATTAAAGTATCAATATACCAAAGCACAAAACTCATATTCTAATAGGGTCACTACGCTAACCCGGTACTACCTCTTTTGAGAAGGTCCCTGGTAAAGGAAAATTTAAAGGAAGTAAGAATAGGTTTTTGTTTTCCATCGACGACCGTATGGATTTCATTTAAATGGGTAAAATTCTTACATTTTATAGAAGATTCACGGCAGCAAGGTGAAGATTGAAGACGACTAGGTCGCTGAGAGAGAAGAGAACGATTAGATTTAGGTTTGCAAGTATTTTTATTTTATTTTTGTAATAAAATGATGTTGTTTCATGAAAAAAAAACACAAACAAAAAACATGCAGTGACCCCTCTGCCCACTGACCCAGGAGTCACTAAAACCCGGCCGGGTTTTGGGGGTCGGAGGGGTTGAAATGCATATAGGATCCAACTTGTGACCCTAACCCTCAGAAGGGAGGGGTCAGGGTTGACCCAGGTCAACTCGGGGGGCGGGGTGGAATTTTAAAACACCGCATAAAACCAAAAAAAAATGAACTTCCAAATCTTAACATCATCAAGGTTAAACTTCAAAAGGACCACCACCACCCCCAAAAAGCTTTTTCCAAATACTTGAGTTGTCATTGCCTAACTTCATACCCACAAGCCAAAGCTGAGGCAATTTAAGTTCGACATGCATTGTGATGATTTGGGGGTGGGGGTGTTTACTTGACAGTTGACAGCTCATTGTTTCAAGACGCAAATCTTATCCATTGCAGAATTATCAATACCATCCAGTGCATTTTTTTTATTCCTTGAATTGGATAACCATTGTAATCCTCAACATCTCACCAACCAATCCTTCAAACAGGAAGCAAATTTTATTATTGAGTAATAAATGTTGAACAACAGAAATTCTTTAGCCTAACATACAATACCTCACTTAATCTATTCCGTTCTCAAGCTTAAACACGACCTTCTCTACAAATTGTACATCCGAGAAATAGATAATACTCTCAATGCTTGCTTAGAAGACGATAAGACACAGAAGAAAGCAACAAAGTAGAAAAACTGAAATTCTGTTCAATGATTTGTCTGCCTGCATCTCTTGCCTTCTCAACCTAGGGCTATTTCTTCCCATCATGTGATAAGAATTCGGGTAGGAATATAAATTTTCTGAGTTGCCCAAGACTCTTGTACAAAACATCTCTCCAAACATCCCAACCACAAGGTTGGGGAATCCTGGTGCCATGGTTGCACCAAGATTGAGCATTTGTGATGTGTCATCCTCATCTTGGTATAGAGAAGGGTTGAAATGTTGACTCTGATAAGGATTGCGATATGGAAGTTGCTGACCACTTTGAGATGATGTTGCCAACAGAGATTGAGCACCTGAAGCAGGTGGTCTTGGTGGTACAAAAGTATCTCTACGGGATGCCTTTCCATCATGCTCATTACAAGCAGGGGAATGGCCTCGACCATAAAGAGGAACCATAGTGGTGTGGGATATATCATCCTTGCAAACAGGGCATTGAGGGTGTTCATCAGGTGCAAGAGAAGCACTTTGGACATGGAGCCACTTGTAGATGCAACGCCAACAATAAAGGTGGCCACAGAGGGTCACTACTGGTTCATGTGCAGAGTCCAAGCAGATGTTGCAATCAAAACAACCATTGGAATTTTCTGTCTCAGTCACAGCATTTGGGATGGTTTTCCAATCCTGGGAATAGTAGTGCTCAAAGGCCATGAATCAGGGAACCCTTCTTGCAACTTTAGTCACCGGTGCTTCTTCAGCCCTGAATATACAACAGACCAGTCACCAAACCAGCTTAATACACAGAATCATAGAAAGGTTTTGAGGGCATTAAGTTCATAGATGTAATCAAAGATAAAAGAAACAAACAATAGGACATCAAGTAGAAATAACTTGAGATTTCACCAAGCCAATCTAATGCAGGAAAAGAAAACATCAATAGAGAAAAAAAGAGGAGCCTATCACTCTAATTATTTGGTATCAAGGGCCATTCATGGAATGTGATGCTATTATCCATACAGGGCATAAACTAGTATGCATTTTCTCCATCTCTCTTAGCACCAGCAACTGCTATGGTACATGACTTGAGTACAAAACTCCAAAATCAAAATTTGAATGCACAAGCTTAACAGCAGGGGCAACTCACTGCCATCACTCAAAAGAAAGACAGAGTTAGGTGAAACATCTAATCTGAAACCCAAAAAGTTGCATTAGAATTCATATTAAATTGATTAAGCTTCTTAACCCAATAATCTCTTGCTAAATATTTGAACCAAGAGTATCACAAAGATGCCCACAATATTCCAATTAAAGAAATTTCTAGGTTCTTCTTATGGTACATGTCAAATATTCAAAAAAAATCAGATCTATCCCAATCCTGGAACTGCTCAAATTTTCATATCCAAAAAAAAAAAAAAAAAAAAAAAAGCTTGATCATGAGATTTGCATGCAATCGTCAACAGCAATAGATGACAAGCACAAAGCAATGAGAAACATAACAGATGAAAAAATAGTTAATATCCTTAAAAACTTATAAATCAGCGAACAATGGCCAATTGTGTGATTGATTTCCACATGAATTCAAAGAATTAAAATTTTAAATTTTAAAACCAAGTAAAAAAATAAATAAATTACTAAGATCTACAAAATTCGAAGACATACCCTGAGAGAGAGAGGATAAGTAAAGGAGTGTATGATCCTCCTTAGGCAGAGAAGTTTCTACTACAGAGAGAGAGAGAGAGAGAGAGTGGTGTAGCGAGCCTTTATTTATGGCCTTATTTATATACAGTACAAAACTACAAATGAATCTGCTGTCACTATGATCAAAATACAATGAAATAAAATAAAACTCTATTCATAATGTCAGAGCTTCTATTCTTCAGATCGTTAGAAGAAAAAAAATTATTTAATTATATCAGTCTCGCAATTATATCCAATAAAAAATTCGTACAAAGACTTAAATTAAAGACCAAAAGTTAAAGCCTTCGCAATTCCATTATGCCAATTGCCAAACATTGTTACCAGCATTAAGAGATGAAATCGGCCCTGTTTGATTTATGTTTTAGAAAACAGCTTTTTAGTTTTGAAGAATTAAAAATTTAAATAATATTTATTCTATGGAAACGTATCTAAAAACTATGGGTTCAAAATTTTTAACCTTACTTTAGATAAATTTATTTAATGTTCAGTAAAATACATATAAAAAAAAATATGAAGTCTATATGGAGCTATATAAAAAGAAAAGAGAAAACAAAAATGAGTTGTACATATTTTTGTGTGTGTATAGGTGAATATTAAATAAAATTATCTAAAATAACTTTAAAAACTTTAAACTCAAAGGGCTCCTTTGATTGTGTTTTGAGTTTTTTGTTCTTAAATTTATTTTGCAAAGTAATTTTTAAAAATTATTTTGTAGAATAAAAATGAAAAAAATCCATTTGATAACATTGTTTTGAAAATAGTTTTAAAAGTTAAAAAAACAAAAAAAAATTGTTTGATAAATTTGTTTTCAAAATGTGGTTTCCTGCTGAATGCATTCTTGGAGAGGGGGCAGAACCTTTAGCCATCACTGCTCTCCCGCACTCCGGATTAGTCCCATAGCCGGCTCAAAGAGTCGAAGCTCGTGGGGATACCGGAGGGAGCCAACTCACCTCAAAGAAGTAATTAGAGTTGGGTAACTAAAAAAAAAAATGTGGTTTCAAAGTAGAAAAACAGCAAAAATTATCAATCATATCAAATGCCAAAAAGCAAAAGAACATATCGTGTGGCTACAGGAATTTGAAATTGGGATCTATATGAGATGGCACAAATTAACTTTTACTTTTTTATTTTCAGATTATTACCATCATGTCATTAATGAAGCTCTTATTCTTCATGTTTTTGTTATTTTGGGAGTAAAAAAGTGAAACACAAAATCAAAACATGATAAGGGTGTTAGGAAAATTTGGTTTTAAAAACTAAAATTAGATGTTGTTTTTAGAATTATTTTTACAAAACACTAATTAACAAACAAGTTTTTTTATTTTTTTATTCTTAAAACAAGAAAACTGTTCTACCAAATAGAAATCAAACAGAGCCTATATCTGTGTTTTAGTTTTTGAAATAAAAATTAGAGAATATCTCGTAGATGTTTGATTCTGAAATATGGAAAAACACGGAGAACAGTTTTTCCATAAATGGCAATGTAATAATTAAGTTAAAATTGAAAACAATAGAAATTTGAACAGTATTTCGTGTCTCTCACTACCTGAGCAGTAAGAAGACTGCTTTAGCATCCACTCTCTTCAAACAGATTTTATTGTTCTTCAATTTCTAAAATTATTTTAAACATTGTCATCAAACAAGTTCTTTCTTCTTTTATTCTACTAAACAATTTTTATAAATCAATTAAAACACTATAAAGAACTTTGTGATACATCTTTCCAAAAGTTTTATAAATGTCACATTAGTTATCATCCAATCAATGTGGGACTATCTATCTCAACACGCCCCCTCAAGCAAGAGCCCTTTAAGCTAGAAGGGTGGAAAATTGCACAGGCCTAATCTTTGGTTTACCTAGTGAAGATTGACTCTGATATCATGTAAAGAACCTTAGATACATCACTTCAAAAGCTAGCTTTAAGGGTGAGAGTTCCCAAAACCTTATAAAAGCCATATTAATTACCCATCCAATCAATGTGAGACTATTTATCTCCAATCAAACAGAAATATCTTCAATTTGCTTCTTTTGGGTTCGAAAGTCGGCGAAGTGTGCTGCCATGTTGACATTCTCAGGATCTGAGGAAAAAGATGTTCATATTAATTTATTTTTTTTGAATGTTATAAAATTATTATCAGAAAAATCAAAACATTAAATTGTCTTACTTATTAAGATTTGGTTTAGAATATTTATTTATTAAATTTTTTTTAGAAGAAATTATTGATCTTATTTTAAACTCGAGTTTAAAATAAGATTCAATAAGTAAGACAATTTAATGTTTGGTTAACAATTTATAAACTATTTTAACTTCTAACCGAAACAATGGAATGATAGTTTTCAAATTGAATTAATATGATTGAAATGATTAATAAATTAAAATCCTTAGAGTTGAGTGAGATACTCTAGACATAAAACTAATAAGATTGATTTAACGGTGGATTTAGATAATTTGTATTAGATTATATGTTCAATTTCCATATAAAAAAAATCATAATAAATTACATGGTGGATAAAATGTTACATTCCATTTTACTTTGGTAGTAATGATTGCTTGTTTCCATCAAGGGATCGTTTGGTAAAGAAATAAATTTTAGATTTTCAGAAAATTGATATTGAGAATCTTAGGCTCTGTTTGATTGTGTTCTGGTTTTTTTGTTCTTAAAACTGTTTTGTAAAATAGTTATAGAAACTGTTATCAAAAAAAAAAAAAAAATAGTTATAGAAACAGTTGTTTTCTATATTTATTTATTTTTGAAAGTTAAAAATCAAAACAGAAAACAAAAACAACTCAGACATGTTCTCTAAATTTGATTTTAAAAACAAAAAAACAGTTATAGTTTTCAAAATATTTTTTATGAAACAGATCTTACCAAACGAGTTTTTTAATTTTTTTGTTCTGAAAACTAAAAAACTATTTTGTAGAACAGTATTCAAACAAAGTCTTAGTTACCCATATTTGGTACAAGAATTTTTTAAAATTTTATGGGAAAATAAGATTCCTAGAATTGAAATTATGAATAAAAATCTCATGAAATAATACCTTAAATTTTCAGCAGGTGAATTTTTTTTACATAATTTATAAAATATAAATAATCTTGATTTAATATTTTCATGACAGAAATACTATGTCTTGTTAAAACAAATTGGTAACTGCAAATTATATTAATTCTCTTTACAAGAATGCTTTTCGTTGAGATATTTTTCTTTCTGCAGATATTGTTATTCTTTGCACCAACATTAATGATCTTATTATATTCTTTCTTTCATTTGCGATGAGGAATGAATCAAGTTTTACTCAATTATTAAATTCCAATTCATGTTTATGGTCTGTTTAGTTCATTACTAAGATTTATGTAAAATCATATATAGGTTTCTTCTCACTACAACATTATTTTTGCTGCCAAATATTTATTTGGTTAGTGGTCATCAATTGTAATTGGATAATGTTTACAACACAGTTTTTATTTTTTTTTATAAAACAACTTTGTGAAATTGCCACCATGTTGAATTGTCAAATCATTTTGGAGCTTAGCGTTGGACTTTTAATAGCTCTCAACCGCTGAAATTTAGTATTAGATATTGGGGAAAGCAATTCTTATGACACATGAAAATTGAACTCTTCTGCTGTAGACTCATGGAAGTTTATGTTGAGTTTATTTTTATTTTTTAAATTTCTGAAGTGGTGGGAACGTTTGATCTTTGAGTCTGCAGGAAAATAATATTTTCTTCAATAACAAGAGAAAAGCAACGCCCTTAGATATTAACAAATGGAGCCCTAACTTAAAAAAAGGGTTTGAAAAATTAGTCTACATTTTTAAAAATTATTAACAATCAATTAAATATAAAATCAAAAAATTTGGGCCAATATTTCTGTGAATATTTTAGCCTATCAAATAATTTTTTAATAATATTTCTGAAAAATTTACTTTTCCAGTATATTATTTCAAAAAATATAAAAAAAAAGGAAAAAAAGTTTCCGATGTTATTTTAGACAACTTTGTCTAATGTTCATCGAAACGACGTCGTTTTGAGGTTGAAAAATTAAAAAATTAAAATGATAAAGACTATTATAACCCTGAAATAAATTAAAATTACAAAAATACCATGATTTTCGTCCCAAAACGACATCGTTTTGATGAACATTAGATAAAGTTATCTAAAGTAACTTTAGAAAAAACAAACCCAAAAAAAAATTACCAAACATTTCCTTAAGGGAGCGCATTTTTTATGCACCCGATGCAGGTGCTCCTCTCATTGGCAGGCTGACATATGAAAAAAAAATTCCCTCTCCTCCGTACACATATCACAAAAAATACATGATTTTAATTGATCTGAATCACTGAATAAGTGGTTGGCAAAAAGACGTTAAATATTTTCCCCTTTAAGAGAAATGCAACTCTTATATTGCTGCAAAAGAAACTTTCTCCTATTCACCCATAGAAAATTGTGTCACTTTTTTTATTATGTATACAAGAAATTCAAAGTCTATCTTACAAAATCTCCTTCCATTAATACCCTTGTAATTTTTTAACACATAATCGTTCGGGGCTATGATGCATGGACACTGACACGGGACACGAGATATGACACGACACGTTGACACGTTAATTTTAAAAAAATGTCATATTTCGACACGTTAGGATACGTTTTGATATTAAATAAAAATATTAATTTATAAAATATAATATAATTAATTAATATCTAATACATAGAAGTCATATATCCAATCAAATATTTAAATTTCATAACATAAATATAAATAAAAATATTTTTTTATACTTTGTTAATTTTTCATGTCAAATTTTATAATAGAAAAAAATTAATTTATAAATTATTTTTTTATATTTAGTTAATAAAATAAAATTAAGATTAAAAAAAACGTGTCCGAGCATGTACGAACGTTGACCGCGTGTCCAAAAAAATTGACTTCGTGTCGAAAAAACGTGTCGAAAAATTGACCGAGTATCTTTAAATGTTTACCGCGTGTCAGACGCATGTCCGAGTGGACACGCAAAATTTTGAAAATTTGTGCTTTCCAGGTTAGGGGCATCAAATTTATTTTACTTTTAATGGCTTTATTATTCTTGACGTTCGAATCTGATGCTTCAAAATGAAGGTCAATGTCTCCCAGTATAAAAAGAAACAAGAAAAACACCGCTACTGATATCAAAAAGATAAAGACAAACAGATATATAATATAAGGTTTTTGTTGGAGAGACGGAGAGTATATCTTATGTTAATATAAAAAATATGGATTCCATTACTAAAAATTAAAATAAAATAGTAACACAATTATCAAAGTGTCGAGGGTATAAAATAATAATCTCCAACATGAGACTATTATTTTCTTGTAATATATATATGTTTGTAAGCATAAACGAAGCCACATGATAAAAAGGTAAAATACAAACATTTCCTTTGATTTTATGCCAGCTTTTAATATTGACATATTAAATTGAATCTTACGTGTAACTCTCAAAAGATTTTCTAAATAACAATAAAATTATAACAAGTCCATTGAATAGGGAACAAGAACTAAAGTGTTTTTTTCAAAAAATTTATCCAAATGTCATGAGAATAGTATTTTTTTTTTTTTTTTTTGATAACATGAGAATAGTATTTTTTACCAGATTGCCATGAGATATAATTCGCTATAACTGGTATCAAACTTCGTCGCTTATAATTTCGTGACACGTGGCCACATTGTGTACCAAACTCGCTACCACTAGTAGCGAACTTCGTCTAGTCAGTTTTTTCTGCGAAAATATGCCTCATATCACAAAATTATTGGTGAACATAATTTACTATCAATCGTAACGAATTACGTCATGTGGTAGTCTCGTAAAAAATACTGTTCACTCGATATTTGGATAAATTTTTTAAAAAATAATGACAATTTTTTGGATGTTGCGTTGAATTGCAAATCAAATCAGATGGTTTGGTTTTACCCCTTTAACAATGTCATTCGCATTTCTAGAATATTCGAAGCATCATTGCTAATCAGCACATTGTACGTTTGACTTCCTGCAATTCTGTAATATTCTTACGAAAAAATATTAACTTAACAAGATATAGTATATTCTGACTAACGACAATTAGATGAACACATCAATATAAACATCGCTGAATAATGCGCGGAAATTTTCTTTAAATCATGAATAACAACCAGGTTCATTATTTTTTATTTTGGTTTGGGAGGAGAAAATGCAAAAGAGCTGGGCGTTTGATATAGGAGAATTTTTTTTTACCCCGAGATCTTGATTCCCTTTAAAATGGTGAGAATAACAATTTTTCGGAAAAATAATCAAAAAGTTGTTTGGTAGGCCAAAATTTACTGAAAATATTGGATCAATTTTCCCGTGTCAATGTTTGATTGATGATTTAATATTACTAGGAATGTGTAATAAATTTACAATAATACCCTCAATTTTGAATTTTTTACCGTTTATTTGTCCAGGTCTCTATCTCTCTCTTTCAATTGATTTTCAGAGTCGTTATTAGCTTGGGCGTCTACATTTCCTCTCGTCTGTTTCGCTCTTTCACCGGAACATAGTTATCCATCTCTCTCTGTCAACAATTGCTTTCGTTTGTAGTTGGCGTGTATGTTGTATGTATCTTCTACGAACCATAACGACATTCACAAAAACATTAACTACAGATCTGCTCGAAACTGAACGGTAAGTAGAGAAAATCAAAGAAAACTCATCAAAAATACATTCTGGTCGGCGGTAAGGTTTGCTTGCTATTCCCTGATAAGCTCAGACGACGTTATCCTCAAGAACAGCAACCCACGTTGTTCATCGGATTTGACACTGCCAGCTATAGCCTACGATGCAACAAGAGTAGAAGAGTAACAAAAATTATGTAAAATTTATCCAACAAACCAGATTCCTGAAAAACCACATAATTTGTGGTATTTGTTCATGGATTTTGGGTTACTAATTTGCACTACGGGCCGTATCTTGGAAAATTATCGAATCAAGGGAAATATTTTTTATTTTTTCTACCAAACATGGATTACTTACAATCCCTATTAAGCTTTTGCAGGATTCTCACAAAAACACTCCTACCAAACAGGCCCTAAAGGATAAACCGCTCTCTTTTCTAAGATGTGGATTTTTTTGGAGGATACAAAATGAAAAAGAAAGGAAAAAATATAATTACAACGTAGCCCCCACTAATTGCTTTTATTATTTGATTTATATGAGTACGGTAAATGTTGCATCACAAGCTTATCTTTACTCTAATTGACTATTATTTGATGAGTTTATCTTTATTTTAGTTGTTTAAAATTAATTATATTATTTTAGGAAAATATAAAGATTATGTTGCACAAAACTTCATATTTCATGCAATAGACACAATTATTGTGAGGCCACTAGTTTGTAAAAAGAAAAAAAAGGAGTCGATGGGTCAGTAGAACAATATATCTTTCATGCAACATGACAGATACAAAATCTAGTATTTTATTATAGTTATTTTAGGAGTGTTGTTTGTCTTAATTCAAATTAGAATTATTTTATATTTCACATATAGTCTGTCCTTTTTTAGTAGGGATATTATCAATTTTTTATATAATAAAGACATTTTGTACTTTTGAGAGACTAAATGATATATTCTACAACCACGGTGAGTCTATATTATAAGTTAGAAATCACGATGGTTTAAGTGATAATAGTTGTAATCACGATCATGAAACTAAAATTTTCCCTATATATTTAATCAATTATGAAAAATTAGGCATTACAAAACATTTTTTTCTCCTATTATACATACTATAGTGAGACAAGAATTAACCTGAGAATCGCAACCCCATCAAATTTAAATAGGACATGAATTTTTGACCATAAAACAACTAGAAATGATTGAATGCCTGAAAACATGTTGTTAAGGGTGTAAATGAGTTAGGCCGGCCTACAGGTCCTACAGCCTAGCCTATATTAGGTCAGGCTTGGCCTATTATAAATAGTAAAATAAAACAGGCTTATGCTTTTAAAAAAACCTATTTAAAAAATAGAACATAAGCTTTTTTATATATGTCGGCCATATAAGCTTACAGGCCGGCCTATATTATATTATTTATTTTAAATAAAATAAATAAAATTATTATTTTAATAATTTTTAATAATAAAGTAATATTATTTTAGTTATTCTTTTAATTGTTGAATGTTTAATAGGCTTAAACATGCTAACAAATTTAGGCCAAAGTTTTTATTTTTTAAATATAAGTCAGACCAGACTTGTAATTTGAGGTCTACACAAACTAACAAGCCAGGTCAGATCTAATATTTTTTATATAAGTCTGACCTAGCTAAAGTCTAGCCTAACCTAACCTATTTACATCTCTACTTGTTGCAATAGCATTTAGGCTAAATTACAAATTAGCCTCTTGTACTTTAGTTGTGTGTCAAAATACCCGCCTATACTTTCAATTAAAACAATTTACCTACTTGTACTTTAGAAAATCACCAATTAACCACGTCTGTTAAAATTCCATCCCATTCTGTTAATCCATCACGTGAGTAAAACTTCTATATTATAAAACTTCTTCTTCCCTCCAAAGCCAAAACGAGAAAAACGATTCATGTCCCTATTCTTTCTTCACCTTTCTCTGCAAAAAACTATTCTTGTTCCCATATTCTTTGCAACATAAAAATAGGTTTTCACTTCCCTTTGTTCCATTGTTCGTGCTTCACAGTTGTCGTCCTCTTTCTCATTGGTGTCTCCTCTGTTGTATTTGTTCTCACTTTGCAGTTATTGTCTATCCTCCACATATGCAACCTTGTAACATTGTCAAGCTAGTAAGTCTTTAATTTTTAATTTTTTTTAGAAACATGTAGGGTACAGTGTTGTGGTATATTTTTTTGTTAAATTTTATTTTTTATTTTCAGTTTATTTACATCTTCTCTGTTTTAATTTTTTTTTGTTGGATTTTGTCATGTTGATTAATTTTATATTTCGTTTTAAAGCTATGCCATCATCTAAACTCATTTCAGCTATGTTGATAAAGTGCCTTGTGAATGGCACTGGACGCATGTATTTATACCATGAGACCAATCCATAAGACAAAGCTTTAGTTTTGTTAATACTGTTTCAACATTGAGTTATAGATTCCTCTTCAGTAAAAAAAGCATCCTTATAATCGTTATTTACTTAATAAATGATATACATCACACAACTATAGTGAAGTAGTTTAGCAGCATTAGAGCATTAGTATTTAAATGAAGATATGTATTTTTGGTTTAATTTGTCTCTACCTTTTTAAGTCTTGAATGCCTCTAATATACATATAAAAGAAGCATAATCTTGTTACATTTCTAAATTTGTTTAATTATTTATACAGATGTCAAGTATGAGCACTGTAGTGGGAGAATCGTCAATGATTACAGAAGTTCCAATTGAAATTGAAGGTGCTCTGGTTGATGGTGAACCTGAAAAGTCCCCCATAATTTGTTTAGATGGATGTGACTTCCCTGATAGTGACGTTGAGTTGCCTGACTTATTTTTTGAGACTGGTATTAGATATATTGATGTTGAGGAGAATATTGGTGTTAATTATGTAGATAGTGATGAATTGAATAGCATAGATAGTTCTGAAGATGAAAGGGGTAAACCGAAATGGCCAGAGTTTAATGAGAAAATCGACATGCAAAGAAAAATTCATTTGGAGGTTGGGATGAAGTTTGCAAATTTTAAGGTTTATAGAAAAGCATTGCAAGAGTATTGTATTGAAAATGGGATCGATTTCTCTTACATTTACAATGAATCTAAGAGGATTACAGTAGAGTGTAAGAACAAATGTGGATGGAAGATACATGCTTCACCTACACAAGAGAGAGATGCATTCCAAATCAAGACATTCTATAAAAAAGATCACGATTGTGGTTGGGTTAGAAGCAACACTAAAGTAAGTGCATCATGGCTGTCTAGTAAGTACATGGACAACATTCGTGATCAACCAGATTGGAAAAACACCGCTTTTATCAATCAGGTACATAGAGATCATAATGTGCATGTGTCAAAGTCCAAAGCTTATAGAGCCAAAAGAATGGCCATTGATCGTATCGAGGGTACTAATTTGGAGCAATTTTCCAAAGTATGGAAATATTGTGCTGCAATTAGACAATTTAGTCCTGGTAGTACAACTATTGTCCAATCAGAGCACATGGTCTTCCAAAGGATGTATATCAGCCTTGATGTGTGCAAGAAGGGTTTTATAGATGCATGTAGGCCAATTATGTGTGTGGATGGTTGCTTCTTAAAAAGTCGTTTTGGGGGCAAATTATTATGTGCGGTTGGAAAATATGGAAATGAGAATATGTACCCTATTGCATTTGCAGTTGTCGAGGCTGAAACAAGAGATAGTTGGCAATGGTTCATGCAACTTCTCTTGAATGATATTGGCACTTTTGAAGAAAAGGGTTGGGTGATAATGTCTGATAGGCAAAAAGTAAGTTTTTAACATTTGACCTTTTTGTTATTTAAGCTCATATGTATAACACACTAACCCTTACTAAATTTCATTGATATTGTAGGGATTGAATGACGTGCTTAAAACATACAATTGTGAATATAGGTTCTGTGTTCGACATTTATATAACAATTTCAAATTGCAATACAAAGGAAAAAGTCTCAAAGATGAGTTATGGAATGCTGCACGATCCACTACTATACACGAGTTTGAGAAGCACATGAGAAATATTAAGACTCTTGACTCATCTGCTGAAAAATGGTTAAGAGATATTGAAGCATCATCATGGAGCAAGCATGCATTTAATCCACGAACTAGGTGTGATATATTGCAAAATAACATTGCTGAAACATTTAATTCGTTTATCTTGGAGGCAAGAGATAAACCAATCCTCACAATGTGTGAAACCATAAGAAGAATGCTAATGAAAAGATTCATTGCAAAGAAGGAAGGGATGAGACAATATACAGGTCCAATTTGTCCACGTATACAAACAAAGTTAGAAAAGGCCAAAAAGCAGTCAACAGAGTGGATCGTTTATTGGACTGGAGATGACAGATTCGAGGTAGAGAATGCATGGCAAACTCGAAGAGTAGTTCATCTTAGTGAGAAAAAATGTGATTGTAAGCAATGGGATCTTACTGGGATACCTTGTGCACATCCTGTGGCAAGTATATATAGGATACATTTGATTCCAGAAGACTTTGTGGATCCTTATTACTTTAAGGATACGTTCGAAAGGGCTTATGCTCATATTATTCACCCCATACCAAGTGAAGAACATTGGCCTGAAACAAACCAAACACCACTATTTCCACCAAAATATAAGAATGCGCCTGGGAGACCAAAGAAAGCTAGGAAAAAGGCTGCTGACGAGCCAATAAACCCTTACCGAGTTAGCAGAAAAGGTCAATCTCTTAAGTGTGGTAATTGTGGTGCATGGGGCCATAATGCTCGCAGTTGTAAAGGCGCGCTAAATTCTGACCGAAGAATAAGGAATAAAAAACAACCCCAAAGAAGAGGTGGGGGAACTAGTGGACCAAGTATACAGGTTATACAATTCTCATATATTTTTACAACTATTAATTTGTTTGCTTGCATTCCACTTGTTTTCTAATTAACTTTGTAAATTATCTTAGGTGAATGTGACAAATGGAAGCCAGTCAGTTCAATGAAGGCTTGGAGCACAAATGAAGTTCTCTAAAGACATTTTTTTTTCATATTCTGTAATGATTGAACAATCAATTGGAGGAAATGAGATACTATTAAAGGGTTTTCATTTGCTTGTTTCTTAAGATATTATTTTTTTGCATATTCTGTAATTGATGCTTTTCTGTCATGGTAAATTCTTCTATAGCCTGGAGCTGTCTTTTTTTTTTAAGAGCAACTTCTTGAAGCTGTCATAGTACCCTATGTTTCTATCTTTACAATCCTTCTTGTACCACTCAAGTTGGGCCATGTCTATTTTCACTAAATTCAATTTCTTGGATAGCTCAACTGTTTCCCTCTTCTGGAAAATGATAGTTTCCATCATTGTTACCATTTTATTGATAATGTTTTGATGTTGTTGCTACTGCCAAATCAGTTTTAGAAAAGAGATCAGGAAAATTTGGATTGACCAAATACTAGTCTAATTTCTAGTAAGGTTCACAATTAGTATAAAATTTATTTAAGAAATAAAACATATTCAGCTACCTGCATTTGTGGTGTGAATCCTAGCCCCCACAATTGCAAATGGATACTTGCATGCAGTGTATTAGAATAATTCATGTCTTTAGCCTGTACTGTAAAGTCCTAGCAAATTGCTTTATGATTGAGATTTTTAACTATATTTCCATAATCCAAAGACTGAAATTCTTGATTTTGATCATGGATAGAGCCCAATGCCACTAGTACTTCCAAAATAGAATCAGGGTTCTCAAAACAAGTAGAATTTTCTTCAGAACAAAAGAGAAATGTTCCAAAAGGCATGTAGGAACTGGTTTGAGAACTATAGTTTGTAACAAGGAGCCTTGGAAGTGGGTCTTTGTGCGACACAACATGTAGAAAGCAAGAATTCCAATTAGAACTACGTGATATGGCTTGTTGCAATCCCTTGTCACCAATAAGGGGTGAACCAAAGGTGATGCAGAGTGGGCGATTCTTTCCTAAACCAATGCTATTTAATAGTGATACAGTGAAGAGAGAAGCACCCTGAAGTTTGTAGATAGTAATCCCTAATAAAAGAACTTAAGGACAAAAACATTAACAATACAAGTGGTTAAAAAATATGAGTGAAGAAATGAACCTTTAAGTACAACTGCTTTCAAAATACAAACATACCAATATGCATATGTGAGACTTTAGGATGTCATCTCTTATATATATATCATCGGTTCATTCATTAGTTTAGCAAAGAAAATCCACAAGCACTAATCCATGCAGGACAATCAATCTGATTTGTCTCTCTTTGTCAAGGCCATTGCTTATAGTTTATCATGGAGTTCAAAGATACAATTTAGTATCCACATTACGGATTTTTCAGCTTGAAAATTTTCAAAAACGAAATCAGAGTGGGCTTAGAATAATGAAACGGGAAAGTATTAGATGTACCTCGGATTTCAACTGATCAAGCTTCTAATTGATAAATGCTTAAATAACTCTAGCAAGAGATAAAGGAAAGACTCATATTTAGTACATTTTCTTGTCCAAAGCCAGCATTACCTCTAGGGGATTCTGTTTACCTTGTGGGGTTGAGTAGAAGCCTTCAAGCAACTTCTAGGAAATCAATTGTTACCAATCCTTGTGCTGCATTAAATATAGGATCTGCTAATTCCCCACATTACAGAGCAACCAATATGGAAGTAATTGAGCTGATACTAGTAAATTTGGACAACTTCTACAAAGTTTTCGTATACTAGAAATTGCAGAAAACACTTCCAAGACAATTTTCTGGGTTGAACAAATGAGTATCACACTAATATAAACTACAAATTTTTCATATACAAAATAAAATGTTACAATCTGAAATCTTTCTCCACTAATTGTAGTCATCTTGAACCTTAAACCCTTTAAGGTCTCTCTTCCCAGAGGTCAGCCACTGTTGCTATAAGAACTGTGAATAAGTTCTCTAACAATTTAAATTTACATGGAATTGGAAGTGCCATGTACAATAGGAAAGCAATACCACAAATATATGGAATTAGAAGTGCCAATTTTCCTTTTGTGTTGCCAAATTGCATGATGTGCGTCCCTTTGATTTTATACATAAGTTAATTATAGTTTCAAACCTTTGTTTTTATAATTACAAACTTTTCCAGTACGCACACGACATCCCTTTTATAAGTGTTTGAACACCGTATATCGAAGCCTCTACGTTAAGAGTACCCACACACAAAGGTCTTATTCAGAAATTTCTCACAGGCACGTAGAAGAGAAAAGTATTTTATGGTTTGAGTTGAAAATTAGGAAAGCAATGACGCTGTTGAAGATTGATAAGTTTAGAGACATTGCCTTGTTTATTGTCTTCTTCGAAAACCCATATCATCAATATTGGGAGAAATGGATTGAGGATGAGGTGTGAAGGATGGATTAGGTCACGTGATATGCTAACGGAAGTGGATGGAATTTTAACGGATGTAGTTAATTGTTGAAAGTTGAAAGTACAAGCAGATAAATTGGTTTAATTGAAAGGGTATTTTAAAACACAACTAAAGTATAAGAGGGTAAATTGTAATTTAGCCTAGCATTTATTTGCAACTGAAGCTAAAATCTTGAATTGCTCATGGCCTTGGTGATGGGCTGCGCACAACAATGGGCTAAAGTTAAGTTGGTTTAGGAGGGGCCTAGTTCCAAACAGATAAAGCCGATAGCTTGGTGCGCATGGGCCTGGGCTAGACTAGATAAACAGTTGTATATATAAATAAATTTACAAAGTGTGTAGAAACACTTTTCCCTACATTTTATATGGATAAGTGAACAATTTAAGTCAACTATTATTTGAGGTATTTTAAATTTATGTAAAATTTAAAAATTATAAATTATAAAAGATTGAAAAATTATAAAAGATGTATGAATAATTATTCAGGTACAATTAAAAAAATATAAATTAAAAAGACAATTTTAAAATTATAAAGAAAATATGCTTACTTAATATAAAAGAATTTGAATTTAAAATTAAAAATAAGAAAATTTAAGAATGAATATATTATTCTTTAAAGGAGAGTAGTTTAAAAGACTTAGTATTTTTTGGGTAAACTAAAACCCTTCCAAATCCTAACACAAAGGAGGAAGAAGATGACACACACAATTTAAATCATTATATAATATATTAAGTAAATGATAAGATCATAATATAATATTGTAATAAAATTTATTTATATATGTATGTTGGGTAGGTTATATTTACAAATTTTTTATTTACAAACTTAACTATGCAGTTTGAGAAGTACACACTTAAGTATTTGTACTTACATATATAGTTGAGTTTGTAAACAGAAAATTTATAAATATAACCCTTTCCATGTATATTAGTTTGTGAAAATATGCAAAAAAAAAAAAAAAAAATCATTCAAAAAATCGGGAAGGATTTTTTTTAGTCATATAGAAAAAAATATATAAATTATGAATTTATTATTTTTTTTATGAAAAATACTTTTTTTTTTGAAAATATTTCAATCGATTCATCGCTTCGCTACTAGTCCAATTCGGGGTGGTCCAGGATTAATACTTTAAACCGTTATCAAATGTGGTATTGGGAAGGATCAAACACATGCTCTCACCCCACCTGCTCAGTTCTCATACGCCAACTGCACTACCATCGTTTGGTTAAAAAAAAAAACACTTCGATTCTATGATTTTTGAAGAAAATAAAAAGATGAAAGACTATGGAAATCCTAATTGATCAACATGGATATTTTAAAAAAAAAATTGTAATTGATTTGGTAGTTAAAATCTATTCTAAAAATAAAATGTAGAAGCATATCATAATTTTCCTAATAAATTACGGTAGTATGATATATTTGTTCCCTACGCTTTTTTTAATAATTTGCACCCCTATATTTGTTTTTTTCTTTTTAGTTACTTATCTCTCTTGTAATTTTTTTATTGCTCAAGGGAGAAAAATAGACATATTTTTTTTATTGGATGACAATAAGCACAGAGAAGATAAGTGATAAAAAAAAGTACATGGTGGGGGTTATTGTATTTTTCCCTAAATTTTAATGTAAAAATAAAATGTTAAAATGAATTAATTTGAGAAAATAAACAGCTGAAATTTAAGGAGAAAGACATAAAATTTAAACTTAAAGGGAAACATTTAAAATTAATCATTTCGAGAACATACTTGAAAGAAAACAGAGATTTTAACATAAAAACTTGTAACTAATTAATAAACAAATTTTTGAAATACGTTAAAAATTAAATGTTCAATTACAATTTTAGCCCTTCTATTATGTTCAATATGCCATTTTGGACTGTCAATAATATTTTGCTCGAATTTAATTTTTTAATTTTTACAAACTTACAATAAAATTATTTTTTTTTAGTTTTTTCACTACATGAAACCGCTAAATCTTATTTCCTACTCAAATATTTGGGGGATTTATTATGAATTTTTGGATGAAAATTTATTTGAATGATTCATGATGTAGCTGTATTGAAGTTAACAACTGTAAGATGACAATACAAGAACTGTAGCTGTATTGTTCAAAGAAAAAAAAAAGCTGCATTATTCTCATGTTGGATTATTATGGTAAAGTATAACATTGATAAATACAAATATAAAATAAGGATGAAATTGAAAAATAAATATGAGAATTCTAAAAAACTAGTATATATCTTAAAAAAAGTTTCACTCGAAAGCTTTTAACTTTTGTTTTTTTATTCATTATAACAAAAACATTTTTTTTATAATAAGAGATTTTGTAAAAAATATATTTATCTAAATTTTTGCTTATAAGAAAAATAGAAGTTAAAAATAAGATTTCTCAGAGAATGGATTGCCATTAGTAGGGTTTTTTTTTATATATATAAAAAGAAGGTTGAAATATTAGGTGAAACAAATGCGATAACGTATTGTACAATTTTATTCCGGTTTTATGTAAGTAAATGAATGAACATCTTGGGAAGAAAAGAGACAGAAGGAAAAAGGACAAAGAAATATTGCATTGTCAAAACAATGTTTCAGATTTGATTAAGACAAATGCGGGAACCGTTTGCACCCCCCCCCCCCCCCCCCCCCCCCCACACACACACACACACACAAAAAGAGAGAGAGAGAGAGAGAGAGAGAAAAAAGACAACGGCAACCGGGAATAATGTAGCTCTATTGAAGTTAATAACTTGAAGAATTGCATGAATGGTGTTAAGAGATATATAATTATTAACTTTGCATCATCTAATATCTTAATATTTTAAGGTGAAATGATTATTTATGTGGTATCAGATTTGGAGTTGGAGTGATCATTGCGTACCTTCTTTCCCACAAGCCAAAACTGAGGCAATATAAGTTCGACATGCAGTGTGATGATTGATTTTGTTGTTGTTTGACAGCTCATCGTTTGAATTGGATATAACCATTGTAATTGTCAAGATCTCACTTCAAACAGGAAGCAAATTTTATTAAACTCTAGCATGTCATAGAATAAGACCGTAATAAATGTTGAGTGACTTTCAACAAAATAGAGCTTTAATATTGAGTAATAAATGTTGAACAACAGAAATTCTTTAGCCTAACATACAATAACTCACTTAATCTATTCCGTTCTTAGGCTTAAACACGAGTTTCTCTACAAATTGTACAACAGAGAAATAGCGTATAATCTCAATGTCTTGCTTAAAAGACGATAAGACACATGAGAAAGCAGCAAATTAGAAAAATTGAAATTCTGTTCAAGAATTTGTCTGCCTGCATCTCTTGCCTTCTCAACCTAGGGCTATTACTTCCCATCATGTGATAAGAATTCGGGTAGGCGTATAAATTTTCTGAGTTGCCAAAAACTCTTGTACAAAACATCTCTCCAAACATCCGAACCACAAGATTGGGGAATCCTGGTGCCATGGTGGCACCACGATTGAGCATTTGTGATGTGTCATCCTCATCTTGGTATAGAGAAGGGTTGAAATGTTGACTCTGATAAGGATTTCGATATGGAAGTTGCTGAACACTTTGAGATGATGTTGCCAACAGAGATTGAGCACCTGAAGCAGTTGGTCTTGGTGGTATAAAAGTATCTCTATAAGCTGGGGAATGGCCTCGGCCATAAAGAGGAACCATAGTGGTGTGGGATATATCATCCTTGCAAACAGGGCATTGAGGGTGTTCATCCGGTGCAAGAGAATCAACACTTTGATGATGGAGCCACTTGTAGATGCAAGGCCAACAATAAAGATGGCCACAGAGGGTCACTACTGGTTCACGTGCAGGGTCTTTGCAGATGTTGCAATCAAAACAACCATTGTAATTTTCTGTCTCAGTCACAGCCTTTGGGATGGTTTTCCAATCCTCGGAATAGTTGTAAAGAACCTTGGGATACACCACCCCAAAAGCTAGCTCAAAGGGTGGGAGTGCCCAAGGCCTTATAACCTCCACATTAGTTGCACATACAACCAATGTGAGACTATATATCTCAACACGCTCCCTCACACGAGAGCCCTTTGGGCTTGAACCGTGGAAATTGCACAGACCCATTTTTTGTTTACCTTTTGTGCTTTTTTTTTTTTTTAATTCCACTTTAAAGCGGGGGACGGTGAGGCTCTGATACCATGTAAAGAACCTTGGGATACACCACCCCAAAAGCTAGCTCAAAGGGTGGGAGTGCCCAAGGCCTTATAACCTCCACATTAGTTGCACATAGAACCAATGTGGGACTATATATCTCAACACGCCCCCTCACACGAGAGCCCTTTGGGCTTGAACCGTGGAAATTGCACAGGCCCATTTTTTGTTTACCTTTTGTGCTTTTTTTTTTTTTAATTCCACTTTAAAGCGGGGGACGGTGAGGCTCTGATACCATGTAAAGAACCTTGGGATACACCACCCCAAAAGCTGGCTCAAAGGGTGGGAGTGCCCAAGGCCTTATAACCTCCACATTAGTTGCACATACAACCAATGTGAGACTATATATCTCAACACGCTCCCTCACACGAGAGCCCTTTGGGCTTGAACCGTGGAAATTGCACAGGCCCATTTTTTGTTTACCTTTTGTGCTTCTTTTTTTTTTTTTTTAATTCCACTTTAAAGCGGGGGACGGTGAGGCTCTGATACCATGTAAAGAACCTTGGGATACACCACCCCAAAAGTTGGCTCAAAGGGTGGGAGTGCCCTTATAACCTCCACATTAATTGCACATACAACCAATGTGGGACTATATATCTCAACAATAGTAGTGCTCAAAGGCCATGAATCAAGGAACCCTTCTTGCAACTTTAGTCACCGGTGCTTCTTCAGCCCTGGAATATACAACAGACCAGTCACCAAACCAGCTTAATACACAGAATCATAGAAAGGTTTTGAGGGCATTAAGTTCATAGATGCAATCAAAGATAAAAGAAACAAACAATAGGACATCAAAGTAGAAATAAATTGAGATTTCACCAAGCCAATGTAATGCAAGAAAAAGAAAACATCAATAGAGAAAAAAAGTGGAGCCTATCACTCTAATTATTTAGTATGTAATGTGATGCTATTATCCACACAGGGCATAAACTAGTATGTATTTTCTCCATCTCTGATAACACCAGCAACTGCTATGGTACATGACAGAGTACAGAACTCCAAAATCAAAATTTGAATGCACAAGCTTAACAGCAGGGACAACTCATTGCCATCACTCAAAAGAAAGAAAGAGTTAGGTGAAACATCTAATTTGAAACCTAAAAGTTTCATTATAATTCATATTAAATTGATTAAGCTTCTTAACCCAATAATCTCTTGCTAAATATTTGAACCAAAGAGTTATCATAAAGATGCCCACAATAATTACAGATAGATGGTGTTTAGTCGGGAGCTTTTCAGTGGATATCTATCTTTGTCAAGTATGACTTTTAGAAACACTATGTTTGTTTCAACATTTTTTACCAAAAATCCATCTATCCAATTTGTCTGGATTGACGAGAAACATAGATATCCGCACTGTTTAGAAACCCATTTTGAAGGTGGGATTTTTCGGAAAACCGATTATCTGGCTTTTAATGCACGACTGATTTCATAAAGTTACCTAATTTTTTCAGTAAAGTTTTTCTCCACCAAATAATTTTTTTTTTTACATTTTTCTACCTATCTCACTTTATCTATCTTTCTAATCATTTCTCTATCTATCTTATTTCCCTATTATTCCAAAAAAATTTCTTGAACCAAACGTCCCCTTAAAGCTTTAAAGGCTCTTCTTACCATCCATGTCATGTATACAAGAAAATCAGATGTATCCAATCCTGGAACTGTTCAAATTTTCATATCCAAATGGAAAAAAAAGGTTGATCATGAGATTTGCATGCAATCGTCAACACCAATAGATGACAAGCACAAAGCAATGAGAAGCATAACAGGTGACAGAGAGAGAAAGAGAGAGGAGGGATAAGTAAAGGAGTGTATGATCTTCCTTACGCAGAGAAGTTTCTACTACAGAGCGGAGATTACACGAGGGAGAGCGTGTTGGAGGGAAGATGCGTGTGGGTTTATGAAAGGAGAATTGTGTAGCGACTCTCTCTTTGTGGCCTTATTTATATACAACACAGGAATCTGCTGTCACAAATCACAATGATCAAACTATAATTAAAAAAAAAAAAAAAAACACACACACACACAATTCCTAATGTCAGAGCTACTAATCTTCAAATTTTTAGGAACTTTTTTATTTAATCATATTAGTCTCGCAATTATGTCCATTAAAAAATTCGGTCAACGACTTAAATTAAAGACCGAAAGTTAAAGCCTTTGCGATAAAATTAACTCCTATCTATATATAAAAATATATTGAATCTATATTTTTTTCTTTTTTTTTATATGGCCCCCTATGCATTTTTATATATATGCATAGGAGATAACTTTTTCTTGAGTAAAGTTTTTTTTGGGTCTCTAACAAAAAATACGGTCTTCATTTTCATCTCCTACAAAAAAAGGTCTACTTTTAGTTCATCTACAATTTCAGTTCTTTGAAAATTTAATCCCTCAAAAATTCAATAAAGACTCAATTTAATCCCTAAAAATTGATTAATATGAATATTTTTTAACGAAAAAAATGAGAACCATATTTTTTATTAGAAACTCACAACAAGCTTTACTCTTTTTTCTCTTACGGCGCCTAAGAAATATCAAAACTTTATATTGAGTATTGATTGCAGATCTATCTTGGATGAGTTTTTTTTTTCTTCAAAAACTATTTTTTAAGAAATTTTTTTAAAAAAAAAAAATTTATTTGGATGTTTGCTTTAAAAAAAATTAAAAACTAAAAATTTTAACTTTAAAACAAAAGCAGAAGTCAAAAATAAAATATTTTTTTTTAAAATTAAATAACTTTAAATTTTATAAAAAATATTTTTATGTCAAACGTTGTTACACGCTATAATATCTTCATTTTGTTTCTTTTGGCCCCAAAGTTGGTGAAGCGTGCTGCGATGTTGACAGCTGAGGGAAATTGTACCACCTTCCCCTCGTGGTTCTCGTGGCTAATGAGTAAGTAATATATTATTATATTAATAACTTATTTTATAAAAAAAATATTTATCCTTTTTAAGGATGATTATTTTAATTAAAATTAATATTTTTTATTTAAAATTTAAATTAAAAAACATCTACTTTCTTCTCTTATAATTTTTATTGTGTATATTTTTTTTTTACTTAAAAAGACACAAACTTATATTTTTTAAAAAGATAAACATCAAATCTATAAAAGAATATATTAAAAAAAGAAAAATTATATTGACAAAGTTTTTTATTTACAAACTTATAAAGTATACTATGTAGAATAGATAGTACATTAAATGTTGACATATACTACCCATAATACATAGTATAATTTGTAAGAATTTGTAAACTTTCTTTTTTCAATATAACTATTCTCTTTAAAAAAAATATGTTCATTAATATTTCACGAAACACATTATCTTATCCAACTGAAAATCAGAGGAGCCAATAACAAATCAAGCTTTATGTGCTTGGATCATGAAACAATCAAGATTTATCAGTATCCTTTTATCCTAGTTGCTTATTATTAGCTTAGTTTATCTTTAACTTAGTTGTTTGAAATATCTTATTAGGATATTTTTTTCATACTTATCTTGTGTACCAATTTTTAACACTATTAGATCAAAATCTCAATTAACCTTTTATTATTTCTCTCTCCTCTTAAGATTATGATCTAACGATATTAGAAATTAGTAGATAAGATAAGCATGAAAAAAAGGTAAGTAAAATAACTTATTCTTATGAGGAATGTTATATTTACAAACTCTTACAAACTACATTAAGTATAACTGATCATACTTCAACCAAGAGTGTATGACCAGTCATACTTAGTGTAATTTGTAAAAAAAAATTATAAACAGATACTTCCCCTATTCTTATATATAAACATAAACGAAGCCACATGATAATTAAAAAAGGTAAAATACAAACATTTCCTTTGATTTTATGGCAGTTTTAAATTGACATATTAAATTTAATCTTACATTTAGCTCTCAAAAGATTTCCTAAATAACATTAAAACAATAACAAGTCTGTTAAATTGCAAATCAAATCAGATGGTTTGGTTTTTCTCCCTTTAACAATGTCATTCGCATTTCTAGAATATTCGAAGCATCATTGCTAATTAGCACACTGTACGTTTGACTTCCTGCTATTCGGAATATTCTTACTAAAAAATATTAACTTAACAAGATATAATATATTCTGAATAACGACAATTAGATGTACACATCAATTTCAACATCGCTGAACAATGTACGGAAAGTTTTCTTTTCTTAATTTGGAAATAATAATAAAAAAAAAATCTGTAGTCCAAGTAGACAGTGAATATTTACAGTGTAGGTATGCACTTAGAGATATCTATAAGAGAGATATCTAATTGGCTTAGAGCCAATATACCAACTATCGCGCACAAGCAATAGGCATATAGTCAAGTTGTAGGTGTGTATGTTCAGTATTGACAGTAAGAGTAAATAGGTAAAAAAATATGTACTTGAGAGGCTTTAACCATTTATTTAGAGAAGAGGTTACTTGTAGGTTTAGACTCCTAGTAGGAGTGTGATTACTTGGGATAGAATGATTGGATTATCCTCTAATATTGTATGGATAAGTCTCAAACTTATATTAAATAGATTGTTGTGATATGGATCCAGTCCATAACAGTTGTCCCCAACCTGACAGTTTGAGAGCTCAGACTGCTGGGGTGTAGAAATTTTTGAAAGACCTCAATTATACTGGGCTACTATGTCAAGATATTGGCGCTGGTTCAAGCCATTATTACTTTCGTCATGCTAGACCGAGGTAGACTTCTGAATAAATTCTCATTGGAACTTTTCCGGGATTCATTTTCGCTGGGATTTAAATTGAGCCGAGGTAAAAGTCTCGACAACGATGCCGAAGCTAAGGTCGGCCTAGTTGCCATCAAATCAAAGTGACTTCTCATTTTAGTTGTTGCCTTGATAATTACACAGATCCACATGTCGCTCGGCTATTGGTAATTTGTGCGTCATGGAGCGTGAGCTGCCCTTACTTTCCGTAGACCATGATTACGAACATTAAATGCATATTATGAAGTTACCCTTCTGCTCCTGTCTTTTCATCTTCGCGCCCAGGGGTTTTTACAAACTTGAACTTCTTCATTTGAAGTCATTTCCTTTGCATATCATTTGTTGTTCTCTGAAGTTTCCTCTGCGTTTCTTACTCTAGTTGAAGTTTTGTCCAGAAATTTGTACAACTTTCGTTGTCTTCCTTTCCACTCTATCAGGTTTTTTTCCAAACACCTCTTCTGTTTGTACATTGCTTTATTCCTTGATTCTGGTTTTGGCTGTTTGTACGTTTCATTTGAGTGAGGGATTGTAAGTTGTGTCTTAGATATCGAGGGAGTGGTGCTGTGTGTTTTTGGGATTCTAGTCTTTTTTTGGGGTCCCTTCTCCTTTTCTTGGAAATTCTAGTGAATTTCCTTTTACCCATTACATTCCCGAGTTAGGATAAGTGTCTCTAGACAAGGTTATGCTCGACCCTTAGTTGAGATGGAAAAGACGAAGATGCAACGAAGGAGAAGGCCCATATCCAGAAGTTATAAGAGCGACATGCTTCTGGCTATGAGGCGAGGATTACACCGAGGAGGAGAAACTGCAATTGCTCATCCGTAGCCACCAAGGTGGAGGATCCAAAGAAAGACTCGTCTCATCTCAGTGGGGTCGAGGTCGGATCTCTCCACTGGGGAGAGGTAGTGCTTTGCCACCGGGTCAAGTCACTATTAAGCTATACTATTAAACCCTCAGGCTTTGTTCGGGAGTTGATTTTTGGAGGGAAAGGAAGGGAAAGAGAGGGTCTTATTAATCCCTTCCCTTGTTTGTGAGTTTAAAAAAATGGAGAAGGGAATCGGGGATTTTTGCAAAATCCTCCAAAACCCTTCTCACCCTTAAATTAAAGTTCCCCCAATTTGGGGAGTTTAAGGAGAAAATATTGAAAATTACTTATCTATCCTTAGCATTAAAATATAAAAATTACATAAATATGAATCATTTTTAAATGTGACATTATTAGAAAAGTTTCAAATACTAACAAAATTTATCGACGAAAAATATTTCGTCGAACATAGTAATGAAATTTTTGACAAAAATCATATTACGTCGAAAATAGAGACGAAACAAGATTTAGCCATAATCACTGACATAATTTTTTTCAAAAAAAAAATTCAGTTAAAATTCTTGATAGAATCTAAATTCCATTGAAACTTTCAATAGAAATATTTGCGTCCAACTTTTCAAGAAAAAATATTTTCGTCAAAATTTTTCGACAGAAAACAATTTCGTAAAAAAATTTGTCGAAAATATTTCCATCAAAATTTTCAACGGAGCAAATTTCCAGTGAAAATTCTCGAAAAAAAATATTTTCGTAGAAATTTGTGACCAAAATTTATTTTGTAAAAAATTCTGATAGAAAATCTTTTTGGTCAAAATTCTTTACGGAATCTAAATTCCGTCGAAATATTTGGCAAAAAAATATTCGTCGAAATTTTCGACAAAGAATATTTCCCTCTAAATTTTTAACGAAACACATTTTCATTGAAATTTTTTCGTAAAAAGTTTTGATGGAAAACATTTTTGTAAAAATTTATGACAAAAAAAAATTCCGTCAAAATTCTTTACAAAATTTAAATTTCGACAAAATTAAGTCAAGCACGTGGCAATTGTGAGGGGGTAAAGGGCAATTTCGAGGAAAGTAATTTATTTAGTGTAAAAAAAGCCTACCAATAAGACCACAAGTAAAGTTTAAATGCTTTTCCACCAAAAAAAAAAAAAAAGTTTAAATGCTTGAACTTTTATTAACATTGTTTAATCCTACTATTTCTTTTTCTTAGTAGATAATCTGGAGAACGGTTTATAAGGCTAATTTTTTTATTAAAACGAAAGATGTATTGAATTGAATCACTGTAATCGGAGAAAACGTGAGACTGATTCTCTTACAAGGAGGAGACCTCTGGCCTTCGAAGAATTTCAAGAATTTACTTTAAGCAATGTTTGAACCATTAAATAAAGCAAATTCTTGGACACTCACTTATCAAAAAAAATAAAATAAAATAATATCCTTAGACACTTAATTGCAAACTGAGCTATGTTAATCCTACTAATTAAAATAACTGTCGCTTGTTTCTAGAGACATAATAAAATCAATAAAATCTTTTTATACATGAAAAAGGACTAACTTAAATCATTATAAGTCAAAATCACTCTGATACCATTGAATAAATTTTTATTAAATATTTGTATCATAAAATATATGATTGAATTGAAAGTAGTTCTTATCATATATATACTACGATAAAATGTTACATTGTTCGAAAAATATTTAATATTTCAATTATCTAAATATGTTAAGATAACGTAATATATAAAAACGGAAATGACTAAATTGTATTCTTATTATTATTAAACTTTGATAGGATTTGACAAAAATAATAAGAGCGATGAATAATTATAACCTAACGACTTGATTAATAAAAATCGGATTGTATATAAAGTTATGCGGTGACATTAGAGGGAGAGAGAATAAGAGAATGCCAACGTGGAATTTTTAAATTTGGAAATATAACCAATTGAGCGCGCGCAAACGCAGATAGCTATGATAGCAATGATCAACGCTTAGAATTTCTCTCATAATTCAGAAAGGATCACTTCACAGAGCTTCGAACCATTCGCAATGTCTGCAACTAAATCCGGGTCAAGGAAGCGAGGATCTGAACTCGAACGCACCAAATCTGATAAGAAGAACCGATCAGCTACAGAGAATTTCGATCTCGATTTTGATTTCGATCTCTCCGAGTTCGTCTTCTATGTTTTTTTTTTTTTTTTTTCAAATTTTGTTGTTGTTGGAATCTTAATCAAAATTTCTTATGCAATGCAAATCGGTGGCTGCAAAAATCTGCAGTGACATCAAAGGAATCGTGTCGGCGCTGCACCTGATCAGAGATAAGGCTCAAAAGGATGGTCAGAAGAAGAACGAAGAGACTATTTCTAGGTATTGCGTTTACACTTCGATTGTACCTGAAACGTTCGTTTTACTATACTTTGAACTTTGAAGATTAAGCTTGGAATGATTCGAATGTGCAAGAGTCTTCGAGCGATGTAGATTTTGATTTTGAATCGATGGACGTAGCTTACTTCTGTTTCGATTTTCTCGATCTTCTTTGAGATCCAAATCAGTATTTTTGCGTGTGACTTGTGTGGTATTTAATTATATAACACCAAGAAACATGCTCACTTTTATGGACTTATAATTCCAAATTAAAATTATAAAATCAAATGAGAGAGTTTTCTGCAATGCAACTATAAAATTTGTTACAGTCACTATTTTATCTTCTTATTTGTTGGTTGTTTATTTCTACCTCTGTTTAAAAAATGGTTTATAATTGGTTCTTTTTTTTCGTGATAGTGTGGCCTCCGAGATCAAGTCTATGATCGAGGAATTGAGGGGCAAATCTGAGAAGGACAGGTACATTTGAGTCAGTAAATCCCTAGTTTAGAATGTGCTATGGCATCCTGCATGTCCCTTTATTTTTTTTCGCTGTACTAAAATGTAGATTGTTCTTCCAATATCAGGCAAAATTTTGCTAAGGCGCTTTCAAAGAGTTCCAAAGAGGTCTGTAGACGACAAAATGGTTTATGATATTGATAATTGAGTCATAAGTAGGCAGAGTTACGTGTTGCCGAAAACTTGTTTAATTACTGTTTTGTGATTACAAGCATGCAGTATGAAAGTTCGTTCAAAAACGAATCTGCTAAGTTTCAAGCACTTTATGAGAAATTTTCCAAGGAGAAAGCCACTTCTCTGCAGGCCTTGGAAGGTACTCCCTGTAACATTATCATTGGTGGACTAATTAGCATCATCTGTTATGAGAGTTTACCTTCTTCTAGATTGTAACTACTGGTTTTATCTTAATATGATTTTTGACAATAGCTGAAATATATAGTAGTAATTCCTATGAAATGGAGTGCTACTTTCGAAATATATAGTGGTAATTAACCGATTTTCTGTGATATAATCGTACTCTTTGCCGGTTAGATGCTAATTAGTGCCGCCCATTGACAGATATTATCTCTAAATTTGAAGAGGAAAAGGAAAAGCTATTCATGAGATATGAACAACTGAGTAAGCTATTCAATTTAATCCATCTTTATGGATATATAAAAACTGCAACCCCGAATTCAATGATTTTATTTTCTATAGCCTTATCTTTACAACTTTATGAATATTTTAGGGAAGAAGGAAAGAATTATGATATCTGAACAAGAAAAAACCTGCAATGATAAAATTGCCCAACTGGAAGAGTCATTGAAAAAGAAGAAACAGGTATACTAAGCAGCATGATCTAGATTTTCAGCAGCATTCTCACCTTGTCTCTCTGAGATTCACACGCTCATGTGCTCACATAGGTACAAGCATTTCTTATTGATTATTTTTTGTCACACAGGATGATAAAACTTTCAGCATTCTAAAGAAAACTCTTGGTTCATTCTTGGAAAGTACCTCGGACGACGATTTCCCACCTGATGATTGAAGATGCAATACACGGAGATCTTTTGTTTCAGCCACAATCCCTGATTCTATTCATTTTACTGGAAAATGTAATCATAGATAAACTCTAAACTTGAGTTGACCCTCTTTGCATATTTCCACTTGCACTTTAATCTGTTATTACAATCAGCTGTTGAAAATATAATTTTACAACACAAATTCAGTGCAATATTTGCTTTTATTTAGATAAAATTTCCCCTGATTTTATGCACTACTCCACCTGCTGCTGTTCCTCCATTTTTTCTGGCCATCACGGTTGCTGATTCCGATGAAATTCCTCAAGTCTAAACCGCATAGTAAAAATAAGGAAATGTATTTGTGATGTTACATGACAAATGAATAGTTGTTATTTTAAGAAAAGAAAAGAAAAGTTAAATTCATTAAGTAATGTGCCCTCTCACTTTTTTAATATTATATAATTTGTCTTTTTCTTAACATAATAACTATATATTTATCAACAAATGCATTTAGCAAAAATATATTGCAGAATAATAACCTTACAGCATAAAAGATACCTGCAAATGGCTTTTTTGCCACCCTCATAGCATTAGTGCTTTTACAGAAAGTTGATTGATAGTTACAATCGTCAACAGAAGCATAAAGGTATTAAAGTGAGAATTGCAAGTTTATCAAATGACGGAAATGGACCTACCACATTAACATGATAAATGACACTCCACATGAACGAAGGGACCGGGACAAATACAGTTTTTTGCATTAGAATCATTGAGTAATGGCGAATTGAAGGAAAAGAGAATCAATCATGCCCATCATTTTAAAATAAAGAAACATTATTCTCTGGATCAATCGACATAAGCTTAAAATTTTCCGTTTTATTTTGGTTGGAAATGAATGTGATTAAAAAAATTCAGTCCACTAAAAGAGTAACATTATCCCAAATAAGAAAGTAATTGCTTAACATAAAATAAAGCTTTCATAGAAAATTGAATTGTTTGCTTTAGTGTCATCCATATATTTCAATATCAATACTACATTAGAAAGGGGACTCCCCCGTTTGATGCCCACTTTTATCCCCCTAAAAGACTGGAGTTTTGAAGCCCAGCTCTTAAACCCACTTCTATTTATAAGGATTATTAGTTTTATAATTACTTTTTAAAATTTACAATTTTATGACAGTTTTTACTTTTTACACAGTTTTCAAATTTTTCTAAAAAAAGAAAAGAAAAGCTGCCATATTATTGTAATTAAATAAAGGTAATACTTTTCTTATTTTACATGAGATAAAGATAAACTTCCCACGTAGAGAATAAATGAGGAGAAAGAAAAAAGAATGAAGTGAGAGAAAAAGTTTGCAATAGAATTCGTGTAGAAATGTTTTGGTCTTTCATATAAAATGAGAGACATTAACTCCATTAAATAATTATTTTCCCTTTACACCTGCATTTATGGTTTTTAAGTATATATGATGATATTCATGGGGGATATGAAAAGAAGTGCGATCCTAGCAAGGAAAATGCGGCACTCAAGTGAAACCTTGTCTAAAAAAATTATAGTGAAATTACTTCCAAAACTTGTCATTAGTAAATAATTTCATATGGATACGTATCCCAAAAGCAGCAATTCTGAGAATGATCCATGAACCCTCGTACCTAATTTGTTATACAAAGATGGTCCAACTAATAAACCAATGGACAGACCACTAACAACCAGTTTTGGAAGGAGCTGGTTAATTTCCTTTGTTGAACAGACCATGGAGGCTGCTTGTTGTGTTCCTGCACAAAGATCATGACCAAAATTATTGTTGAAATGAAAACCTTACTTGTTTTAGGCAATAAATCTAGGGTTTTATAATTTCCATTTAACATGAGAATTGAAATCTTCCTATACACCATTCGATTTCCGTGCTGACATGAGTCTTACATATAATTTTTTCTAACATATAGATCCCACATGCTTTTTGTTCTACAACATAAGATTTCAATTCTATGTAACTTGAGAATTATAAAACTCATAAATCTATAGCAATTGTAGGGACACTTAGGATTGAATCTAAAAAGGCAGGTCTAACTGTCTAAGTAAGAGAATAAATTCCCCTTATGTAGCCTATACCATTGGACCCAAAGAAAAAAGTTAAAATAATCAGAAATAAAATTCCTCGATTTATAAATTCATTATATATTCAAATAGTATAATGTGAAATAAAATCATTTGAAAAATTTATTTAACCAATAAAATAGGATGAAATGTGTTGAGGAAAGAGGGAAGACTATTTTGAGTAGTATAAAAAATATAAAATAAAAATAAAAGTTAGTACACTAAGCTAGCCTGAGAGGTTTTTAGGTCGGACTTTTGAATTGAAGCTTGAAATCTTTTTATTAAACGAACTTTTATACAAGTCCAAATCTGATTCCTATAACCAATTTTAGACATGTAAGCTCAGACCCCTAGTTTGTTTGCCACCTCTAGTTATAAATGTGTGTCTTCATATAAGTTTATCTCAAATAGATGAAGAAATGTTTTTTTCATATATATATATATATATATATATATATATATAGGGAAGAGTATTTCTACAGCCACTTTAGATAAGGTTGTCTATAGCTATTCCTTTTTCACTAAGTACGACCGGTCGTACTTAGTGATAACAATAAAACTGTTCTTTTTGTTTTCTTTCCTCAGACATTGTCGGCTGACGTGGCAGAGAGAGAAAATGCAATTCTAATGTACGACCGGTCGTACTTAGTGAAAAAAGGGTAGCCGCAGATAAGCTTATCTAAAGTGGCTGCAGAAATGTTTTTTTCCATATATATATATATATATATATATATATATATATATATATGGCTCTTTTTTGAAAATTTTAAATGCCATTTATTAACATTTCAAAAAGTAATCATGACTTGTTATCGCAAATTAATATTTGACATGAATCAATAAATCAAAGTTTAACGTGTGCTTTTATTAATTTCATAAATATATATCAAAATGGCATTTGTCAATTAATGCGAAGTTCAATTCTATGCATACAGGGATGCTGTTTTGATGTTAAATCAGGTCCGAATGTATGAAAAATGGGAAATAATACTCTCATGCCACATGAGATACTCCTATTTTCCTACACAAATTCGTTTTCCGTGCCAATTAATTTTTCTTTTCTTTTTTAATATAAAATATGGGACCCACATTTAATTTTTCTCTACTTTTTTTCTCTCCTACAATCCTACAACATAAGAAAAGTTAAACCCATGAAAAATATAGTGAACGGAATTCTTGGAAGTATGTCCAGTCTCAAGCTTAGGTATTCCTCATGAAAACTCTACAAAAATATTTCCTATTTGCTTTTGTAGTTTGTATAATTTTTTTCTCCCCATCTTTTCAGGCAGAAAAAGGAGGATTTAAAACTTTACGTGATGGAGACAAAAGGAAATCGTGTCTACAGCATTAATATATGAGTCTGGTGTCTACACGTGTTTCTCTAACAGAAGGTGGAGTACATATTTCAGGCTTTTAGCAATAAATTATTCAGGACTCCTAACATCTTGGTTTGAAAGCATTATTAAAAGTCTTTGCCATCTAGTTATTTTTTGTCAACTTCAGATGTCTGGTTTTAGAATTGAGTTATGTTGTGATACTTGTGTCACTTAGTCCTCATAACGGTAGATGCAATTAAATATGGTTTATTCTACTAAATGGGATAGCCCAACTATTATGGCAATATTATCAACCACATCAGATAAATGAAATTTGCAGGCATTTGATTTGATTTGATTTGGAGAGAGAGGCGTCGTGTATAAAATTGTGTGCGTAAAAAAGTTATGTTTTTTTTTTTTAGAAATACAATGAAAACTAAAGCAACATCAAAAAAAGCCTTATATTGGGCACAATCTTGAGAGATTAACTCCCCTCAAGTCATTACGAAACAATTCCAAACAAGCCGTTGGAGAGGGACATCCAGCACAATCAGTTGTCCATCCTGATGAGGTGCATGAGTAGCAAGCCAACCAGCAACAAAATTGCCTTCTCTATAAGTATGACTAAGCTGAATAATCCAGTCTCTTTGAAGCATGCTACGAGCTCGGATGATTAAAGCAGAAAGAGGATGACTTACGTCACACCCTTTTCTTATAAATTTCAAAGCCACCTTGGAGTCACCGTCCACAAAGACTCTCCTAAATTTCTTATGCCAAGCCAGATCCATACCTGTCAAGAACCCCTAAACTTTCGCTGAAGTAGAAGTACCACTCCCAAGAAATTTTGTAAAACCAGTTAACCAGTTCCCAGCAGCATCCCTTATGACTCCACCACATGCAATCCTTTGCCCACTGTCTATGCTGGAACCATCCACATTAAGTTTAACATAACCCTCAGAGGGAAAATTCCAGTAAATAAGACGTTCCTCTCTTCTAAGCTCCTGATGACCAATCTTAATAAGGGTTTCATTAGCCAATTGAATATTACCACAAGTGTAGGTAATGCGCCTAATGAGACCATACTTTGAGGTGCTAGTTTGATCAAAGATTGCCTTATTTCTTTCCCCCCACAAACACCAAGTTATCACCCCAAAATACAAAGGCCAAGTTCGATCAGTTTGAAACGGACCTTTTAATCCTAGATTTGTCTGAATCCATAGGTGAAGATCCATGGAGAAAAAGTCACTACGGTTATCAGAAGGAACCCAATGCTCCCATAATTCCCTGGCACCAGGACAATCTCTAATGGCATGTAAACTATCCTCAAGATTATAATGACATCTCAGACACGCTGCATCTGTAGCCATGTGACGATGCACTCTACGAACATTAGTTAAAAGAGAACCTTTGTAGAGAAGCCACAAGAATTGTCTAATACGTTCAGGACCAGGCCAAACCCAAATTACCTTCCAAATCCTATCCTGATGATAATGCGAGATACCCATGAGATAGTTATAAGCTGATTTCACTGAAAAAATCTCATCTTGGCTACCTGCCCAAATAACACGGTCCAGAAAAGGATCCACTGTAGGAGGAAGCACACTACGAATCTTGTCTAATACTGACGTAGGAAGAAGGTGCTGTAAGAAAGTTATGTTAACAAACATAAAATTCTTTTTAAAATGCCCGTGCCTCTTATTTTTGTACTCTTTTTCACTCCCTCCCTCGGAGTACCCTTTTTTCTTTTAGATTGTAACACAAAAAACGACGTCGGCTGTTACCGTCATGGATGGACTTACTATCGTTTGGTTTCTTTAAATATATTAATAAAATCTTATAGCATAGATTCTTAAATATCCTTCATTTATATATGCATGCAGCTCTATTGAATTCAGACTTTCAGAGCATTCATTTTGATCGAAATCACTTATAATCTTGTTCTTCAAATTATATTTTTAATTAGTTTATTTTCTTATTGAAATTTGTGCCTACTTTCCTTCTCTTCCTCTTTCTTCTCGTTCTCTAATTTTATTACAACTTAATTTCATTAGAACCTTTTCCTTTTTTATTATCTTTGCCCTCCTTACTTTCTTCTTTAAAAAAAAAACATGTATTACATTAAAATTAATGATAAATTCTTAAAATATTAAATTTTTTAAAACAAATATTAGAAGATTTTATATAAATTATTGACCAACACCACCTGAGCAGAGTATTACATTTATATTTAAGGTGAATTATAAAATGCAGCTCATACACCTTAAATCCGTAATTTTACTTTATATATCAAATGGATGCCTTAAGATCGCGACCTAAATCGACATTAAAAAGCTAAGCTTTTTTTAAAACATTATATATATATATATATATATATATATATATATATATATATATATATATATATGTGTAGATTGAATAGTTCTACGTACGAAAATACAACTGTTTGAGGGTGAAACAAAAGAAAATGAACAATCCTTATACATACCATTTTTTTTTTAATTTTGACATAATTCAATTAGTTTTAAGGATTTTTATTTATTAGGTAGGATTAATTGAATTAATTACTCATTCACTTAGGAGTTAACAAATATTACAGATCATTTCATCATAATTTTTCACAAAAAACTTCTAGCTTTCTAGTATATGAATTATCAATTATGGGAGTTATGACAAAAGGAAAATTAATAAATGAATACATTTTCTATAGATTTAGTTTTAAGAACAAACAGAGCGCATTGGCATATATATATATATATATATAATACTTATGCTTGATATACTACTCGATCCTCTCCGATAGCCCGCCCATTATGTAGGTGCAATATATCGTGAACTTGCAACCCAATGCAGTTCCAGCAGCTTTGTTGTAAATGTTCATGAAGAAATAGAAAAGATATGGAATGCACCATATTCACAGCAAATATTTATCAGAGCTTCTAGGGGAAGAAAAAAAAATCCCTTAGTTTAAGTTTTTCTGATGAAAGGCTTAAACGGGCAAAGGTTCTCTTTGGCGAATTGAAGGAAAAGAGAATCAATCATGAGTACCATCATTTTAGAATAGAGAAACATTATTTTCTGGATCAATCGACAAAAGCTTAAAAGTTTCCGTTTTATTTTGGTTGGAAATGAATGTGATTATAGAAACTCAGTCCACTAAAAGAATAACATTATCACAAATAAGAAAGTAATTGTTTAACATAAAATAAAGCTTTCATAGAAAATTGAATTGTTTGCATTGGTGTCATCCATATATTTCAATATCAATACTACAATAGAAAGGGGACTCCCCCGCTTGATGCCTCCTTTTATCCCCCTAAAAGACTAGAGTTTTGATCTGCTGTCATTGAATACAGAAGAGAATATTGTCATTTTAAAGTAATTGAAGCCCACCTCTTATATCCACTTCTATTTATAAGGATAATTAGTTTTATAATTACTTTTTATAATTTACAATTTGCAGACAGTTTTTACACACATTTCAATTTTATTTTATTTTTTGAAAAAAGAAAAGAAAAGCTTCCATATTATCATAATTAAATAGGGCTTTATGTCTCTCCTTTAATAAGGAGAGACTTTCAATCTTATTATGAGATTTCAATCTTATACTGAGACACCAAAGCACTGAGACCCACCAAAATTTAAAAAAGAAAAATAATGGCATACCTTTTAATGGGTCAGTAGGAAAAAAAGCTTCTCTCCAGCAACTTGAGAGATGTATTTCCCAATTAAATAATTATTTTCCCTTTACACCTGCATTTCAGGTTTTCAAGTATATATGATGATATTCATGGGGGATATGAAAAGAAGAGGGATCCTTGCAAGGAAAAGGAGACTCTAAAGTGAAACCTTTTCTAAAAAAATTATAGTGAAATTACTTCCAAAACTTATCATTAATAAATAATTTCATATGGACATGGATCTCAAAAACAGCAATTCTGAGAATGATCCATGAACCCTCATACCTAATTTGTTATACAAAGATGGTCCAACTAAAAACCAATGGACAGACCACTAACAACCAGTTTTGGAAGGAGCTGGTTTCCTTTGTTGTACAGACAATGGAGGCCGCTTGTTTTGTTCCTGCACAAAGATCATGACCAAAATTATTGTTGAAATGAAAGCCTTAGTTGTTTTAGGCAATAAAATCTATAGCAATTGTAGGGAGACTTACGATTGAATCTAAAAGGGCGGGTCTAACTGTCTAAATAAGAGAATAAATTCCCCTTGTGTAGTCCATACCATTGGACCCAAAGAAAAAAGTTAAAATAATCAGAAATAAAATTCCTTACAAAAGTAAAACACTATCTATCATCTTTGACATGGAAACTTTAACGGCCTGTTTGGAGTACCTGATAAAGAAGATAGGATAGGATAACTTATCATATCTTACTTTTATCTCTTGTTTGGTGGGTCAATAAGATATGATTAGCTTATTCCATTGTCTCATTTTATCCTATCCAATACATTATTTCTTATCCTGTGGGGGGAGCTGGGTTAAGATTCAACAGGAAATGATACCAATATTGGATACCTAATATATCTCCACGCTACCCAATATATCCCCACGCTACCCAATATATTTATATTTATTGCATTATATTTTGTTTTTTCTTTCTCTTTTCTCCTACATAATCTTATCAGATTGCTAATCAGGTGCTCATCAAAGTGCTCATCAAACACAGGATATGATATCGGCTTATCAGCCCCATATCATATCCTACCCTTATCAGCCCCATATCATATCCTATCCTTATCCTATCCTGTCCACCAAACAAGCCCTAATAGTTTCAAATGAGTAGTTCGATTCAGAGTACATGAATTCCACTTTATTCAAACAGAAAACACTAGGTTTCAGTAGTTAAATGAAATACAGAAGATATATATGTGAAGCCTATTTTTCTCCAGCCCATAAATGAGCAGCGTGTATGTGGGTGTCTTGGTTTCTGGTTTTGAATTCATGCTCTACTGTATTTGCCATTTCAAAATAAATCACCCATCAACAGCAATTCCAGTAGAAATTGTATACATAATCCTTCACCCATCAAGGCAATCACAATATGCATATACTATAGTCTTTATTATTCTTCTTTTCATTATGCATGTTTAAAAGTTTAGGGGAACATCAATTTTTTTTTTTTTTTTTTTACATAAATTTAAGAGGAAATTTATAGTGACCAATTGACAAATGAACACTTATTCTATGGTAATTTCATGATATGTCCGGTAGACCAAACTCCATGTCAAATACTTAGAAGGCTAAATTTTTCACATACAGTACTAAGTACATAAAAAAGTAGCTTTCAGTTACATAAGTTATATTGATCTCAAAATTAGAGACAGCAGTGTGCATTTAGATAGAACTAATGCACAAAAACAGTTAACGTACCCCGATTTCTGTCACAAATCGGCATGAGGAACACCTAACTTGTGAAGCACCATATGGGTACATTAGCAATACCGCACAACTCCCACATTTAACTTGCCCAACCTGATCAGCTGTAAGGAAGGAATGAGTTATTGATATCTTGCCACACAAAAAGTTAATGCCATATGTCATTTTTTGAACAAGGAAGTAAGGTGAACTTTTAAGAAAATGGAATAAGTTACACAAGTGGAAACTTCAAAATTGAATTTCATGTCAGTACGCAGCGTATGACATCACTGTATGTGCATTCACGGAGAGATTTACCATAATAAAATTTCTAGTTGAAAACCTGGAGCTTGTTACATCATCAAATCCTAGTGTGATTGGTCATTGGTATTTGGACTGCAACCCTTCTATGAAGACCAGAAAGTTTTTTTTTTAAATAAAAATATTATAAATTTTAATAAATACACAAGATTGTTCACACAAGTGAAGAGTGCACTACTACACATAACAGGTGGGTTGGACCAAGCATAGATTTACATCGATATCAACAACAACATCACCTTTATTCCAAACTAGTTGGGGTCAGCGGCGACCAAGCATAGATAATCAAATCCTTATAAACCAAACTTAAAATGCAAAGTTAAAACTCACAGCAGAGACATGTTCATGAGAAACAGATGATAGAATTTATATTTCCACAAAGTTATTGTTCAAGCTCAGAGCGGTTATCAAAATGATTTTTAGCTAAAGATTAAAACCAACAAATATTGCCCAAGTGGAAGAAGGTTAGAATTTTCTAAGTTTGTTTTGAATGGTGTATTTGGTTTTATAAAATGGTTTGAATGGATAACTTCATTCTTTCCCGATGTTCATGTTATATTATAGGTTTAGAAATCATCATGTGTACATGTTTATTGGGTTTGAGCCCAAATGATAAGCATGCTGGAACTTGAAAAAGGGTATTATGATATATTTTAGAATTGTAAATAATCTGTACAAAGGGTTCTCTATTTATAGAGAATATTTGACCTACTTTTAACCTAATGGGCTTGGCCCAATACAACAAAGGGCTTGGCCCAATACAACAATAAATGACTAAATAATAACTAAATCAATATTATTTACAACACTCCCCCTCAAGCTGAGGAATAGATATTTATCATTCCCAGCTTGCTAGTAAGTTCTTGAAATCTGTGTGAAGGAAGCCCCTTTGTTAATAGATCAGCTAATTGACGCCCAGTGAGAATGTATGGAGTGGTAATCAACCCGCTATCAAGTTTCTCTTTGATGAAATGGCGGTCGACCTCAATATGTTTAGTCCGATCATGTTGAACTGGATTATGAGCTATACAAATAGCGGACTTATTATCACATAGCAGCTTCATAGGTCCCTCACATTTTATTTTGAGATCATCAAGTACAATTTTCAGCCACAGTAACTCACAAATGCCTTGAGCCATAGCTCGAAATTCAGCTTCTGCACTTGATCTGGCAACCACATCTTGTTTCTTACTTCTCCATGTCACCAAGTTACCGCAAAGAAACATGCAATAACCAGTGGTAGAACGACGGTCAGTCACGGATCCAGCATAATCAGCATCTGTGTAGACTTCTAAAGATAGATTGCCATCACGTCGGAATAACAATCCTTTACCAGGAGTACCTTTAAGATACTGAAGAATTCTCTCTACTGCCTGCATGTGTTTTTCCTTTGGATCGTGCATAAACTGACTGACAACACTAACAGCATAAGCTAGGTCTGGTCTAGTATGGGCCAGATATATCAATTTCCCAACTAGCCGCTGATATTGTCCTTTATCAACTAGAGGACTCTCTTCTTCATAGCTCATCTTGTGATTCTGCTCAATAGGAGTATTAGAGGGTTTACACCCGAGCTTTCCTGCTTCTTTGAGAAGATCAAGAACATATTTCCTTTGGCTGATAAAAATTCCTTTGCTTGAATGAGCTACTTCTATCCCTAGGAAATATCTCAGTTTCCCAAGGTCTTTGACTTCGAACTCAGAGGCAAGCCGTGTCTGCAGAATCTGTCTCTCTACAAAATCATCACCTGTGATAATAATATCATCAACATATACAAGGAGCACAGTAAGCTTCCCGTTTTGGGAGTGCTTGAAGAAAAGAGTGTGATCTCCTTGACTCTGTCTATATCCTAAGGTCATCATAACCTTAGTAAACCTTCCAAACCAAGCACGAGGTGACTGCTTCAATCCATACAAGGCCTTTTTTAATCGACAAACTTTATTTTCCCCCTTCACAGAATCAAAACCAGGCGGGATTTCCATGTAGACTTCTTCTTCTAACTCACCATTGAGGAAAGCATTTTTCACATCAAATTGATTTATATCCCAATTGTAATGGGCAGCAAGGGACAACAAGATTCTCACTGTATTCATCTTTGCAACTGGAGCAAAGGTTTCTTCATAATCAATGCCATAGGTTTGAGTGTAACCTTTGGCGACTAATCGAGCCTTGTATCTCTCAAGAGTGCCATCAGAATTATATTTTAGGGCATAAACCTATCTGCACCCTACTGCTTTCTTTCCGTTGGGTCTATCAATAACCTCCCATGTTTTATTTTTCTCCAATGCATTCATCTCCTCTTGCATGGCTTGAGCCCAATTCCCATCTTTCAAAGCTTCATGTACTGATTTTGGGATTGAAGTAGAATCTAGTGCTGAAACAAAGCTTTTGTGCTGCACAGAAAGATTAGCAGAGGAAACAAAATGGGAGATAGGGTATTGAGTACAAGAGGGACAGGAAGAACAAGATTTCTTGGAACAAGATCTTTTTCCTTTTCTTAAAGCAATGGGTAAATCATCAGAAGCAGTAGTAATGGGTAAGTCATCAGAAGTATCATGATCAGAAATATGAGATTCAGGACTTACCAGTGGTTCAGACGATTGAGGTTGTTGTTGAGGCAATGTGGGCTGTTTCCTTCTTTGATATACCAATTCAGGTGTTACAATCTTCCGTATCTCTTGTGTACTTGATGTATCAGTCATAGGAGGATCAGTCACAGGAGGATCAGACATAGACACATTAGGAACAGGAACAAAAGGAAGAGACACTGACACAGGTGAAGGAGTAGACACTGAAGTTTCAAAGAAGGAAGGTGATGAGTCTTCTGGTGAATCATTCTCCCCCCGAAGATGAGGACCTTGGAAAAAGGACTCAGATTCCTGAAATGTAACATCCATAGAAACAAAAAATTTCCGACTTCCAGGGTGATAGCACTTGTAGCCCTTCTTATCAGGAGCATATCCAAGGAAGACACACTTAAGAGCCCTAGGATCCAACTTACTGCGATGCTGTTTATGAATATGAACAAAGACAACACACCCAAACACTCGAGGAGGAAGACTTTGCAAAGTTGGAACAGAAGGAAAAAAAGAAGTCATGGAGTGAATAAGACTTACATGATCGAGAACCCGAGTGGGTAGACGATTGATCAAGAATGCTGCAGTAAGAATGGCATCTCCCCAATAGCATTTGGGTACATATGTTTGAAACAATAAGGCACGAGCAACTTCAAGAAGGTGACGATTTTTCCTTTCAGCAACCCCATTTTGTTGAGGGGTGTCTACACAAGTAAGCTCATGAATCATACCTTGATTTTGTATAAATTGGGAAAAAGAGTGATTGACATATTCAGTACCATTATCTGTCCTTACTCTTTTGATTTTTTTACAAAATTGAGTCTCAATCATTTTATAAAATTGAAAGAACAGTTTTGGTACCTCAGACTTTTCATGCATTAAGTAAACCCAAGTTACACGAGTGCAATCATCAATAAAAGAAACAAACCATTTATTTCCAGAAGAATGAGGGACCTTAGAAGGACCCCAAACATCAGAATGAATAAGATCAAAAGGTTCAACACTTTTAGTAATACTAGAAGGGAAAGACACACGATGATGCTTAGCAAACTCACAAACATCACAATGAAAAGACTCAACAGACTTAGACAAAAACAAAGACGGAAATAAAGACTTGAGTAAACTAAATAGAGGATGTCCCAAGCGCTTATGATGAAGCCAAATCAGAGAATCAGCAGTTGACTGGCCATGTGACAGTAAGATGTGATCCTTAACATGAGTTGCAGGAGATTGTGACACCAGATAATACAGCCCACCTTGCTCTTTAGCACCCCCAATCGTCTTCCCTGTGGCGAGATCCTGAAAAACACAGTGAGTAGGAAAGAAGGTTACAGTGCAATTTAAATCTTTTGTGATTTTATGAATAGAAAGAAGATTAGTAGAAAGTTTAGGGACATGAAGAGCATCTTTGAGATGTAAGGAAGGCTGTAATTTTATGTTACCAGAACCCGCAACTGATGTATGGGAGTCATCAGCTACGGTTATCGTATGAGTGCCAATGGTATGGTTATAAGAAACAAAAGGGTCAGCACAACAAGCCATATGATCAGTAGCACCAGAATCAACAACCCAAGAATGTTTAAAATCAATACATGAAGTAAGAAAAGAAGAAATTTTGGAGCTCATACCAGTCATAGCCAAATCACTAGTACCAGACGGCTTACTCAGAGAATCAAGTATGGTCCGAAGTCGTTCCAACTCATCTGGACGAAATGCAGGTTGGGTCTCATTAGGTGTAGGAGCTATATCAGAAGAAGTAAAATGCGCTTGACCACGCATCCTTGCCATCTTTTCTAAGACAGTTTGTTTTCCATGGAGGCGATAGCATAGATCCTTGATATGACCTGTTCTTTTACAATAAGAACACCAGCGATCATCTTTCTTAGGTCTAGAAGATGCTCCATCAGAATATTTTGGAAAGGAACTCCTGTAAGTAGAACCATCCTTTTTTGTTGAAATCATAGCAGACCCATCAGTGGGTTTAGAAGCAGCACCATCTTTTGATAATAACATGACAGATTTATCAGGGTTCATCATAACACCCCGACGATTCTCCTCTCCCCGAACAGTATTGAAAACAGCAGAAAGGGATGGAAAAGTTTCTTTGCCAAGTATCTGAACCCGAATAAGATCATACTCGGAATTCAAACCAGCAAGAAAATCAAAAATACGCTCATTTTCCACCTCCTTGGCTAAAGCAGTAGCATCTGCAGTACATTTTATCTTCAAACTCTGAAATTGATCAAGTTCAGTCCATAACTCCTTCAAGGTGCCATAGTACTCAGTCACGGATAAAGAATCTTGTTTTGTAGTGAATATTTTATTGCGCAATTCATAGCGCGCAGCCATATCCTGTTTCAAGGAATAAGTGGAGCGGACAGTTTCCCAAATCTCCATAGCAGAAGACAAGAACATACAATGACGACCCACTTCAGGAGTCATCGAATTCCACAACCAAGTCATGATAAGAGAATCCTCATTATCCCAAACAGCAAAATCGGGATCCGTGGCAGCAGGAGCAGGGCCATCAAGATGAGCAATCTTATTGCGACTCTTGATGGTAGTACGAATGAACTGAGACCATGACAAATAATTTGATCCGTCAAATCGATAACTCTGATGTAGACTTGGAAGATCATTGTGACCAAGAGGGGTCACCACAGATGGGGTAGAATTTTTTCCAGATAAGTTTAGAGTTGAATCACCGTCGGAAGCGGCCATACTGCAAAACAACTCAAGGAATAGTACCAAGAAGCCAAAAAATCACGAAAAATTACCAAACGAGGTCCGATCAAAAAGGTGAGCACATATCCGGAACGAGCTTGGAGAGTCGATCAAGACTGCACCGGTCCGCAGCCAATAGCAATCGTCACGCGCTGTCACGCGCCGGTGAAGCTGGCGGCGCGTGGGATTCACGCGCAGGGAAAGGAGCGGCGCGTGGAGGAGCGTCTGACGTCCGATCGGGCTGGGCTTTTCAGGCGAAGGTCGTCCAAGGGTTGCGAACAAGGAAGCACGGACACTTGTAAAAACAAGAAGAGTCGGGTCCGACACGCTCCGACACGGCGACACGGTGTCCAACACGCGGTTGACTTTTTCCGACACGTTGACCATTCCGACACGCGAATTTGACCGTGTCCGACACTGTCAAATGGCATTTTCGTAATTTTCGTAATTTTTTTTAATTTTTTTTTTTTTTTTTAAGTTAAAATATATTAATAAAGCTTCCACCTGTTCATATCAATTTTATCTTTTTTCTTTTTTCCCCTTAAGTAGATAAGAGATCATCTCAGCATCATTGTTGTCAATTCCTATCACGCTCTTGTTGTATCTTTTTCTCTCTGATCTCTCTCTAATATGATTTGATCTCTCTATCTGATATTATATCTCTCTCTCATCCAAGTTCTTATTTTTTTTATTAAAGCTTCCATCTTTATAACGTATTGATGGGTATTATTAATTTAGTTTCACTTTTTTGTTAATTATTAAATATTAAATGAAATATATACTATATAAATTAAAAATATTATTTAATATTAAAACGTGTCCCAACGTGTCGAAATCCATAATTTTTTAGGATTGACGTGTCGGAGTGTCGTGTCGTGTCACGTGTCGCGTGTCGTATCGGTGCTACATAGGTTGCGAACCTATCTGGGGCTGATCGGAGTTGAATGGCTGCCAGAAAGAAGGTCAATCGCGATGAACAGTGTTCTTCGTTAGTGAAAAACGCTTTCTGTTTGGAGGTGACGTTGAACGGTTCAGTTTGGGGTCTTGTTATTGAGGAAGATGAGAGAAAAACAAAGAAAAGCAGTGATCTCTCGGTCCAAGAGGTCCCCGGAAAATTTTTCCGGTGGCGGCTGATGGCAGCGAGAGATGGAAAACAAAAAAAAAGGTTTCGTAGGCGCGGAAGCAGAGCCCTCAAGATCGAGAGCTCTGATACCAACTTGAAAAGGGATATTCTGATATATTTTAGAATTGTAAATAATCTGTACAAAGGGTTCTCTATTTATAGAGAATATTTGACCTACTTTTAACCTAATGGGCTTGGCCCAATACAACAATAAATGACTAAATAATAACTAAATCAATATTATTTACAACACTGGATTATGGTGTAGGGCAAGGTAACCTAGAGCCCATGATTGGTGAGAACTAGGGATATTATACGGCCGAGATCTCCCCTCCATGCTTAACACTCTGACAGCATACTCTTCCCATCATGGTTTCAGTTATAGAGAGGGAGTTGGAGGGGAAGATCCTGTTCCTGGAATGCACACATGTGCACAGTGCACGGCATCCCCTTTAGAGGTTCTTGAAGAAAACTGATTTCTTATATATCTTCAAGAGGTACATAGAAATTTACAATTTCTTGAGGTGCTATAAATTGTAGTATTAGCAAACTCAGCATGTGACAACATAAGCAAAGAAAAAGAGGAGTAACCTTCTAATACAATGTTGACCGTCTGACAGCATGAACATTTGACATGTTTGGCACCTCTTGGATATGAAAGCAGGCGACGACAAGAACCACAAACCATTTGAGCCAAACCTGTTAGCACAGTTCGCCAGTCAGAGTCATCAAGTTGATACCCAATTTAGTGCCACGCTTGTCAAAATTTTGAAAATTAAAAAGAAAAATAAAACAAAATCAAGGACACTAACAGTGACATATAAAAAACAACCCAGCAACAGAACAACCAATCCCTTAAAAGGTTGCAATTCAAGGTGAAGCATGTAGCTGGCTTCAAGATACAAAATTTGCAATATTGCATCCAAACCCCTTTATGCAGCTGTTTTAACACATTCAAAAATCATATATTTAGAAAGAATTTAACCTGAATATGAAAGCTATTAACTTGAGAAAAAGTAAAACCTAACTCAATAACACTAGAACCTCACTGTGCCATGAGAGAAAATAAAATAAATATTCCTACAATCTCATACACTTTAAAAAATAAATAAATAAATAAATAAATAAATAAATAAATAAATAAAGCATTGCACGTTGTAAAGTTCAATCACAAAAAGATGGCACTAGTTCAGAAAAACAAAGACAAATTACAAACTCCCACTCATCTAATCTCCTTAATTGTGCAGCAGCTTATTATAAACGCGTGGATAATTCAAAAAGTTAAGAAATTTCTACGAAAACCCAGCTGGGTATCCTTCAATATTCAAGTTTGAAACAGACACAAAATAAAATAAAAAATAAAATAAAAAATAAAATAACAGAACTAGAGGGGAAGAAGATTATTGTAATTGAACAAAATAAGAGTGTTAGAATTAGTGAATGAAATGATCTTCCAAAATCCATGTATAACTATTAACTCACTGGATGGGCGTGACGGCGGCGGCGGAATGGGGAGAGGTTGCCACCCTGGTGGTGGGCCTTCATCGTCGTCTTCTTTCACTGCTTCTTGACCTTGCATCCTAGCTGCTCCCTGCGTAGTCCCACACTCACTGCTTCATACACACTAACTTTTATTTAGGAATGAAAATCATATTCGCATCGGGCAAATGTCACATATTCATGTTAACATGATTTTATTTTTCATTTAACAAATAGTGGCGTTGGGAACACGAGAAATTTTTTTATATCATGGAATCACGATTTCGAAAAATACGATAGAAAGATGAATTTTATGAGAATGTTAGCAAAAAAGTGTTTGGTAGACTAAAATATTTTCAGAATATTGAGTTAATTTTCTTAATGCTATATTTAGTTGTATTAAATTTTTCCTTGCCATAGAAATCTTAGAATACCACCCCCTCTTAGATGGTATTTTCAAAAAAAATTACACACAAATTAAAATTTCGAAAAAATCAAAATCCCGAATTTTTTTTTTAAAACTTGTAACAAACATGAATAAATATGATTACCACTCTCAGTTCCCCAAAATTCTAAAAAATACCTCGTACCAAACGGCCTCGTAACGTGTACAACTTAGGTTTAAAAAGTAATGTCCTTTAAAAATATGACTTGTTAGAATTAAGGGGCGGTTATACTTATTACTGAATTTTTTTATTATTCTTACTATTAAATTAATCACCGTTAATTTTGCTAAATTAATGATTATAATTTATTAGATATTAATAATTAATTAATAAATGTGATGTCATAAATTATAATTGTTAGATTGACAAAAGTTAACGATATTTAATTTAATAGTAAAAATATTTAGTCTAAATATAACCGCCCCTTAAAATTGAATTTATCTACACGGTGCAACTTAAAAGAAAAATTATAACCGCCCCATTAAAATTGAATTTATCTACACAGTGCAACTTAAAAGAAAAATTCAGAATAAAGTAAGTTGTAAATGAAAAATATGATTAATTCAATGGGATGGTTATTTTTGCTACTATTTTAATCTTACTATTCTTGCTACTTGATTGATTATTATTGGATCCAATGTTGCACCGATACCGGGACAATGACACGACACGACACTTCTAAAAAAGTTAGATTTTGACACGTTAGGTCACATTATAATATTTTTAATTTATGTAGTGTATATTATATATAATATCATGAAGCTAAACTTATAACATCCATGCAAAAAAAATATAAGATATCACAAATATTTATAGAGGAGGGGTATTCTTACAAATAAAAGTTTTACAGCCTATTTTTCATCGTTAATTTCCGTCAATCAAATGACTATGATTTATTGAGTCACATTTATTAATTAATTATAATTTTTAATAAATTATAACCATTGATTTTCGTCAATCCAATGGTAAAAAATAGGTCGTAAGAGGTTATAAAACTTTTAAGTTGTAAGAATAACGCTCCTTATATTTATATTAAACTCAATAAAATGGTAATCGTAATCCAACGAATCCAATAGTTGGAACTAAAAACGCAATGCAACACGACCTTTTAATCATTTTTTGAGTCTCTGCAACGCGTGTTGGAATGTCAGTGGGTCGAAAAGTGTCGGACATGACACTTTCAGGTTTTTTGAAATATCGCTGCATCATAGGTTGGATCAATTTGAAATCAACGGTTAAAAAATAAAAAAAATTAGCTACCATTGATTTCAAATTGATTTAATGGTAACCAATCAAGTAGTAAGAGTAATAAGGTTAAAATTGTAACAAGTATAATCTTCCTATATATATATGGGTAATAGTTTTCTCATGTAGTAGGAGATAATAATTATTTCCTACTGACTCATTTGTATAAGTGGGGTCCACTTTCAAGGGAAGAGAAAAATAAAATAAAGTGAGACCCATATTAAATTTGTGCGTGTAGTAGATAAGTTTTTCTTATGTAACATAAGAATAATAAATCCCTATATATATAGGGAAAAATATTTCTACAGCCATTTTAGATAAGGTTGTCTACAACTACCCCATTTTCACTAAGTACGACCGGTCGTACATAGTTATAACAATAAAGCTGTTCTTTTTTTCTCTTTCCTCAGACATTGTCGGCTGACGTGGCAGAGAGAGAAAATACAATTTTAATGTACGACCGGTCGTACTTAGTGAAAAATGTAACACCCCGTTCTATAACCGGTTTGTTAACATCACATTATGATATTAAGCGCAGTTACAATCACATTGGTTCAATTAGAAATTCGGATAAATTTTTCTTTTTGAACAAAGTCGAATTTAAAATGCCCAATTGTGTGATCATAACCATATTACGTTGCGGAACAAAATAAATTAAGCTTAACATCATATTATCATTAGGTTCGAGTTCACTACAAAATTCTCTTCACCTTTTATTAAATTGGAATTCCTTTACTTACTATATAGTTCTCATCTCACACTAGGCTATATATCTCTTTGTTAGTTACGCGTGGGTTCAAACCGCGTCCAATTTGGAGCTTTGTAGCTCAAGCTATGCCAATTTTACTAAATCATGTGTATGCTGAAAATGGGTTGCGCACTTAAGCGCGCTGAGAGAGCTTAAGCGCCCTCCACGACCCAGTTTTTCACACGGCAGGGCGCTTAAGCGCGCTCCAGCGAGCTTAAGCGCCCAAAGGCAGAGGAAAATGGGATTTTTAGGCCACCAATAGCGCTTAAGCGCGCTCCAGGGAGCTAAAGCGCCCACCGGCAGAGAGTTTTTGGCCATCACAGGTGCATCAGGGCGCTTAAGCCCCCTGAGCGAGCTTAAGCCTCCATTTTCAGGCTTAAGCCCCCTCCACAGTGCAATTTGACCTCCTTTGGTATTTCATCCATAACTTTAGTTATACTACTCCTATTTGTACAATCTTGGTCTCATTGGAAAGCTAAGAAGAAGATCTACAACTTCCATTTAGATACAAGGGTCCAAATCTATCATATAGGATATGAAATATGGACCAAGATAGGATATCTTTATTTTTACATGGATTTACAACCCACAAGTCTTCTTTCACCTAATTGACATCATATTATCCTTTCAATACATGATTCTTGATTCTTTCAAGGTACACATACATCAAAAGAAGCATGCAAATCATTTCATCATATAAATATCTCTATTAATTACAACATTACATCATGCCTTAATTACAATTCATCAAAGTCTCATTTACATCATAGTTCCTACAATTTAATATACATGCCAAGGGACTTAGCTACAAAAGGAACATGATCAAAGCAAGTAACCATGTATCAGATACCTATTACTACTACAATGATCATGCACTAAGTTCTCCAAAATACATCACGTGGCATCAAAATATACATATAGCAATCCTAAATGGCATGCAACTCAAAATGTCCAGCTATCAGGTACAATCTACTTATGCTTCTTGCCTCGATCAACCTCACCTCTATCAGTACCTGAAATGATACCCCACAACACGGGGTGAGATATACGAATATATCACAGTAAACTAGAGGTCCTTGGAGATCACTATACCCTAAGGTTCACTTTCGATGTACACATAATCATAACAACTTAACACATTCTCATCCACAACCATCACATGGACTTCCAAGAGAGATCCACTAAGGGTTGTTTCTCTTAGGCTCTTACCACCTGGAGATCCACATAGGGTTGTTTCCAAGGGAAGTCCCTAACCTCAATCTAGGAACCTCCAAGAGAGATCCACATAGGGCTGTTTCTCTTAGGCTCTAACCACATGGAGATCCACATAGGGTTGTTTCCAAGGGAAGTTCCTACCAATCATCCTCATCATAATAGTATCGCTCATAACCTCAATCACAATCCTCAACCGTTACCTCATTCATTATTTCTACCTCTACAACCATTCCTCAATAATTCTTAAACAATCAAACATCAATTAATCAATCATAACATTTATCAATGCATGAATCAATGCATGGGCATACAATTACTATCATAATTATATATCACATCTCATAAACCATTTCTCCTCAACAGAGTATGGTGGAACACTCAATGGGATCAACCCCAAGGTCCAAAGGTTTACCTTGCTCTTGAACTCTCCTCAATTGCACACAACCACAAGGGTTGGTCACTCCACTTGGTCCTCTTGCCTCAATCCTATCAACATAAGGAATAAAATCAAACAATGCTAACAATGCAAGGAAATCCATAGTTCCAAGCCTAGATTTATCCAAATATCAAAGCATACTAAAATAACACTCTAAACTCATTTCTACCGTTTATCTATCGTTCCTAGTAACATTTACAAAGGCACCAAGCCTCCCTCAAACTCAAACTCATTAAACCCCAAAAAACATTATTCATCATCTTCAACCTCTAGAAACTCCATGAAAACCAAGTTCAAGGGGAAGAAACTCACCACAATTGGTTGCACAACCAAGGATTGAGGGTTTCTCAAGCTTCCAAGGAGTAAAATGTTCCCAAACCCCTTCAACCTTCAAAGGGGGTGGATTTTTGAGAGGAAAATTCTCACAACACAAAACTCCCCACAACAAACCTAGCTTGGATTCAAGATGAGAGAAGGATTTGGAGTGGTTTAGGCTTTTGGATCAAAGAAAATGGTTTAGGGGTGGTGGAGCTAGGGTTTGGACCTCCCTTTCCCTCTTCTCCTTCTCTTCTCTCTTTCTTTCTTCCTCTGTGGGTCGACGGGTTGGGTGGGAAAAATGAATGGGTTCATTTGCTTGGGGTCACTTAACTTATGTTAAGTGGCCTTAAGCAGGTATAAGCTCATCTATCTATTCAACTCCATTCACCACCAAACTTTACCCCAAAGGTTTGTAATATTTTTCTAGGGATATTTACATTTTTATTTTTATATTTTGGGTACTTTTGCCTACATCCACTTATACCCCTTAATTTTCATCGAGTACACTTTTTACCACAAAAGTGACCCCAATTCACTTAATTAGGCCTTGTACTTAATTTTACTCACTAATACATGCTTAATTACTTAATTAAAAATAATTAATTTAATTATTAAGTTAGGGGTATTATAAAAAAAAGGTAGCTGTAGACAACCTTATCTAGAGTGGCTGCAGAAATGTTTTCCCCATATATATATGGGATATATTTTTCTTAGAGTAAACACCCTTTTTAGTCCCTGACAATATCTACAAAGTCCTTTTCAGTACCTGGCAATAAAAAAGGACCAAATTGGTCCCTGAAAGTACAAGAAAAGGGTCACTCTACATATTTGGGAGTTGACATAAGGACTAACATGACCCTTTTTTTGTAATTTCAGGGACCAATTTGGTCCTTTTTTATTGCCAGGGACTAAAAAAGACTTCGTAGATATTGACAGGGACTAAAAAGGGTGTTTACTCTTTTTCTTATATTGTAGGGAAAAAAACTACCTCATGTTGTACAAATAAAAGTATAAGTGGGACCCAGCAGTAAGAGGAGAGAGAAAAAAGAGTGGTGGGACCCAACCCCTTTTTGTGTGTGTAGGAGAGTTGTTTATCTCATGTAATCCTATATATATATATAAATATATATAGGGTTTTATTAATCGCATGTTATAGGAGATAAGTTATCTCATGTCACAGAGATAAACTTGTGGGTTTCACCACCTGAAAAATAAAAAGAAAAGAAAAGAAAAAGGTGGCACAGTTATCGAAAAGTGTGTAGAAGAGAAATTTGTCACATGTAACATAAGAGTAATTTTTCCCATATATATAAAGTGATGCGAAGTGAAGTTTTTGAGCTTTTGGTTCAGGAACAGTGACTATTTTGCCACTGTTGGCAAAAAAAAAAATACCAAACTGACACGTTAACAATAAATTTTTCCAAAATGCCACGTGGCATATTTCGCTACACTGTGTAGCGAGATATGTGTGCAAATAATTCGCTACACAGTGTAGCGAAATATGCCATGTCAGAACCAAAAATGTCACGTGTCAAACAGATAGAATTTCGCTACACAGTGTAGCAAAATTCTCCCTGTTTGACACGTGGCATTTTTGGTTCTGTGCATTCTGACGTGGCATATTTCGCTACACTGTATAGCGAATTATTTGCATACATATTTCGCTATACAGTGTAACGAAAATATGCCACGTGGCATATTTCGCTACACTGTGTAGCGAGATATGTGTGCAAATAATTCGCTACACAGTGTAGCGAAATATGCCATGTCAGAACCAAAAATGTCACGTGTCAAACAGATAGAATTTCGCTACACAGTGTAGCAAAATTCTCCCTGTTTGACACGTGGCATTTTTGGTACTGTGCATTCTGACGTGGCATATTTCGCTACACTGTGTAGCGAATTATTTGCATACATATTTCGCTATACAGTGTAACGAAATATGCCACGTGGCATTTTGACAAAATTTACTATTGAAGTAATAGTTTGGTAATTTTTTTTGCCAACAGTAACACTTTGGTCACTGTACCTTTGGTTCATGAAGATAGTAAGTTAATAATGAAATAAATAAAAGTAATAAGTCCACCTTATACATGGGACAGAGGAAACAATGTCAGAATTCAATGAGGTAGGTGACCAGAGCCTTTGTCTTGCTTACCGATTCAGTATGGTGGTCAAAACTGCATAAGTTTGTTAGAGGTGGCAAAGGGTAACTTATCTTATTTTTTAAATTGGATTCAAAATGTCAGCTAGTGTTTGGTAGAAGATTTATTTTAGGATTGATGAAAAAGTGTAAGTGAATATTGGAAAATATCATGTTTGGTTCAGGTTTTTGAAAAAATACTAGGCAAATAGGATAGATTTGGAAATGACTTTTGTGTTGATTTTTGGATGAAATTCACTGTTACAGAATACCACTTGAGATGTGGTATTTTGAGATAACTGGAGAAGTGAAAAAATAGGTACGAAGTTTTTTCCGAACATAGATTTTGCAAATTTAAATAAATTTCTCTGATAATATTTTGGTCAACCAAACAACTTTTTTTACATTTTCCTACCAAACTCACTTTCCAACCATTTCTCTAGTAATTATATTTCCCTAGTATTCAAAAAATTTCTCCTCAACCAAACGTCCCCTCAATGTATTTCGAAACACTTCAAAATTTATATTACATGTCAAATGATGCTTGCTCACTTGGCGTAAAAAAACTATGTAGAAGGATATAAAAACATGTGTTTGATCACTCCAGTATTGGCTTTTTTACTCTTATAACCCTTTATTATTAATTAATTATTGATTTGACCTTGATTATAAACTATTTCAAAAATTTAACCCTCTCAAAAAACATAACACCAATCTGCCCCTGTTTGACCGTTGACCACCAAGCCTACCCGGGTACACCCCTCTGTACTCGGGTATTTTTTGAAAATTTTTGTCTACCCGGGTAGGGAGGCGTGTACCCGGGTATTGTTCTTCGCACATGAGAAATTGCTTGAATTATTTACCCGGGTAGAGAGGGGTGTACCCGGGTAAATCTTCGACCACCCGGGTATGATTACTCTTTGGATCTCCCATGCACTCTTCTTCTCCAAGCTTTGAATATGGAGGCACCCACTATCACATGCTCCGCCTCTGCAACTTTTTTGGGTCTGTAAAGCACACAAATATTTTTCAATGATTATTTTAGAAAGGGAATTCTCAGTTAACACTATAAAAGTAGACCCCATCATAATCGATACGAACAGGGACCGCTTTGATGAGCAGTAAAGTGTTGATGTATGGAAATTCCAAATCCATTCTCAAAGCTAAAAGCTCTTCAAATTGGTTAGGCATGCTTAACTTGATAATACTGATCTATCTCATTAGCTGTAAAAAAGAGAGAGAGAAAAAATTACCATGAAACAATTAATTACACATCCGCAAATATAATTAACTTGTGGTAAAATCAAATAAATCATATCTGTTCTTATATCCATCAGCTACAAGTTGCCCCAGTTATAGCAAGTACCAAATGGGTGGTCGAAGATTTACCCGGGTACACCCCTCCCTACCCGGGTAAATAATTCAAGCAATTTCTCAGGTACGAAGAACAATACCCGGGTACACTCCTCCTTACCCGGGTAGACAAAAAATTTCAAAAAATACCCGGGTACAGAGGGGTGTACCCGGGTAGGCTTGGTGGTCAACGGTCAAACAGGGGCAGATTGGTGTTATGTTTTTTGAGGGGGTTAAATTTTTGAAATAGTTTATAATCAAGGTCAAATCGGTAATTAGTTAATAATAAAGGGTTATAAGGGTCAAAAAGCCCTCCAGTATTATTTTTGGGAGAAATTTAAAATCTTATTCCTGGAACTCACTCTGAACCAGACTAATCGTAAAGCAATGAATTAATTGAAATATGTTAAAAAAAATAAAATTATATTGCAATGTAAAAAATATCAAACTATGACAAAAAGGATATAAAAAATATCATTAATTCATTTTTTTTAAAAAAATAAAATAAAAAATCAACGTGACGAATCAACCTATTTAAACGGGACAGATTCAAACAATTGGCGAGTAAAATTTTTCAATCTAACCTGCCACAAATGGCAGGTTAAACTGGCCAACCCCCCACCTCTAATTATAACTCTCGAGTTACTTCACTGGCTGACAAATGTCTATCATATGTGATGATTAGGTAAACAATCAACAAAGTCAAATTTGAAATATTAATGTAATTGAGAGGCTACTAAACCACATATTGGCTACCTAACACTTGCATATTCACTGCATATATTGTTCAGCTTTTGTATGTTAAAAAGCTTCTTTAAGAACTCATTTCCCTTCTGATCAAAACTTGTCTCGATTTCAAGGCAGTGTCCACCATGACCAAGACCAAGATAGTCCTCACCCTTTTCCTAAGATTACTAGCCTTTGGAGCAACTATAGCAGCAACTGTTGTTATGGTTACAACCCATGACTCTGCTGAGGTCCTCAACTTAACCTTCACTGCAAAATATAGCAACCAGCCAGCATTCGTGTGAGATTTTCTTCCCCCTTTATATCCTTTTCTGAGAAAATGTGAATCTCAATCATTATAAGCATTTCAAATTGACTATATTTTCTTGATATTTGCTTGCTATAGTTATTTTGTGATAGCAGAAGCCATAGCAAGTGGATACAGCCTTATTGTTCTCTTCACATGTTACCATAATTCACTTTGGCGTTTGGTGTTAATCTTAGATGCGGTAAGCAAACATTTACCGCTATCGTATTAAACTTTCAGGAGGAATGATATATTTACAAACTTTTTGTTTACAAATTCTTACAAATTATACTATATTTGACCAGTCATACTTTAATCAAAAGTGTATGACTCGTCGTACACTTTGGGGTCTATGAAAAAAAAAAGTAACGACTTCACATTTTTTTGGTAATATTTCATTAGGGGATAGCAATGTTACTCTCTTCAAGCGTTTCAGCAGCACTTGCAATAGCTCAGGTGGGCAAGAAAGGCAATAGTCATGCCGGTTGGTTACCCATTTGCGGACAAGTTCCTAAATATTGTGACCATGTCTCTGGAGCTCTCCTTGCAAGTTTCGCTGCAGCTATAATATACTTTGTACTTATATTTTCTTCTCTTTACTCTCTACAGAACCCCCTCTTCATGTAAAATTGGTAGTGTTTGGAATTTTCCACTCTTTTATGTCTAGCATCCTTCACGCGTGTTCTTCTCCCTTCACCCCACTTGTATTGATTTATTAATTTATAGATAGATATCAGTATCAGTGCACTTATATAGAGTTCTTCCTGTTTCTTTTTTTTTTGAGAACCGATCATGATGTATATTAATATACAACAGCCAAAGAATTTGTTTTCATTTAACAGTGTAACTAGGAGATTAATTGAAACTTAATCTTAAACCTTTTACTTCATGTGTATTAACTCTACATGTAAAAAATCAATCATAATTTTTTTTTGGTTATTATATAATGAAATAATGATTCGCTTTAGGATGAATCACGATTTGATAATTATTTGTTCAATATATGTACGAGGAATCATAATTCTTAGGTGGATTATTTTTAAATTGATATTTCTGTTTTTAAATATTGTTTTTTCTTTCTTTTACTTCCCATTTTAAATCACATTGGAAACCCCCGTTTTTACTTTCAGCTTTAATTACGGGATTTAGTTCCCTTGCAAATTTCTCGACAGAGATCATTCATGTTGTTTCCTATATTATAAATCCTTGTTTTTTTATAAACATGATCAATTTTAGAGTAAATTCGACTATTAATATTTCTCATTTCACCGTGAGATAATTTTATTTTCTATGTACATATAAAAATATATAAAGCTATATGAGGAGAACAGAAAAAAAAAACTCCGTATATATTTATATATACATAAGAGATCAATGAAAAACATTATTTTTGAAATAATTTATCATTTTACTTTTACCCTCAATAATCTTATGAGTAAATACTTTTTTAAGTCCCTAACAAAAAATACGGTCCCACTTTAGTTACCCTCATAAATTAAAAAAAGACTCACATCTTACATTCTAAGACAAACCCATTATTTGGCAACCCCGCTGACGTATCACTTCCTCCTTCAATTTCAAATTTGCATTCACACTACAAAAATTTAAAAAGTTTCCTTCTTTGGTAAATCATGGAATAAAAAAATTATAAAAGAAATTATAATTTGGAATCAAAATCGATGGACACAATTTGGTATCTCAAATCAATGGTACAGATTTGTTATCAATTGTATTGGCAGACAACTCATCTTATTTTAAAATTTGAAATTTGGAGTTCAAAATTTAAATTTGATTTTTTAAATCTGACAACTCATTTAATGTTCAGCTACTCTCTCCATTGGAATTGCTAAACATTTAAAAAAATATACAAGGCTTCTCATTGTTATATGAATTGCAAAAACACATCATTTTTCTTTCTCCTGTTCTTCGTCGTTCTTTTTTTCCCCACATTCCATATCATTGCAAAAACACATCCTTTTTCTTTCTCCTGTTCTTAGTCGTTCTTTTTTTCTCCACATCCCATATCATTCTATGCGATTTTCTTGCTGCTGTTCGTCGTCTTTTTTTTTGAAAATAGCTGAATATCAGTTACAACACACAGCTTCAAAGAATCAGCTTCTTCGTTCTGTCTTTGATCGTCTAACCAATATGTCTTTAATCAGCTTCTTCGTTCTGCCAAGGAGGACTTGAGGATTAAGGTGAAGATGGTTCAGGCTTGGAAAGTTCCTAACTTTCAACGTAGAGAATTTGACGACAACGTTGAAATGGTTTTATTGGATGAACAAGTAGTTCTTAGCGTTTTTAAAATCTTGGTTCTTGCGTTTTTAAATCTTCCATTTTTTTGTGAGTTGGCTGTGTTTTTTTGTAGGGTGGTAGGATCCACGCCACTGCCAAAGGTTCTTTGCCGGTGCAGAAGAAAATCCATGAAGGAGATTGCTATTTTATCAAAAAATTTGGAGTTGGATTCAATAGCGACATGTTCAGGTGATGCGTAAAATCGGCAAGTGCACCGATCGTACCAAGTAATAAAGAGTGAGTAGAGTATCGTCTCCACGAGGATTGAGGCACCTAAGTTGTTATAATTATTCCTCTCTTGTTGGATTAATCAAAATAGGTTGAGAATGATTGCAGTTCATGAAACAAACTAAAATAATTAAAGTAAAAATGTAAATGATTCCAAAAGTGTTTTCAGAATGCAAGAACAAAAGATTAAGGATTGGGAAAATATTTGAGAAAATATTGCGGTAAAGAGAAACAAACACCTTTCCGATCCCCACCTTGCAACTTGGATTACGTTTACATTTACCTATTCAATTGATCGAACAATTCATCATCTTTTATATGAGTAGTTAAGCCCTAATCCCTTAGTGACTTTAACCTTGTTAACTCTATTAGAATCCTAATCCCTTAGAAATCCCTTTTCGAGTTAACCCTTAGAATCAATGAACCTTTAACGTTCGCTGTTCATGTAGCCTATCCCTAGTGCGTACATGAACAGTTATCTTATTCTTTGTCAGGAATTAGAATTCCAACATCCCTATTGTAAACCCTAACCCTCGCAACCCTACTAGATTGATCAGTTCCAATAGAATTATAGAATGAAGAACAAGAAAAGATAAATGCAATTAAAATAGATAATCATAAATTTCAACCAAGGTACAAGGGGTTCACATCAAGGGTTGTGACCCTTACCACAATGATAAAACTAGCCAGACATGTTCATGTCTGACAAAATAACAATAAAAGAAAGTAGCATTTAAAACCTAGAAGAGAAAGGGGAAGATGAAGATCTTCCGTCTTGATCGATCGAACCCTTGAATCTCCGAGAAGCTCCAAGGAATCTCTGCTCTATTTGTTGTTTTCCTCCCTTGATTCCCCAAAAGTCCCTTCTCCCTATGTTTCTGATCCTTTTATTAGGTTTTGGGAAAACCTATTTTCCTTTGCACTCCAATTGGGCCTTATTTTAGCTGATTCGCACTTAAAAATATATCGCCCGCGCACGGGGCGCCAAGCCTGGCGCCCCAAACTTGGGAGAAACAGAAGCTGAATCTGTAAACGGCGCCCCGGGCGCCAACTCTGGAGTGCCGTGCGCCAGTCCCGCGCGCCGTGCGCCAACTCCCGCGCGCTGGGCGCCAGGTTGGAGCGTCGTGCGCCACCTCCAGCGCTCCGTGCGCGGCCGAAACAGAAGCAAATCGTCGATAAGGCGCCTCGTGCGCCAGGTACCGAGCCCCGTGCGCCAACCTCCGCGCGGCGTGCGCCAGCGGGAAATTTGGTTTCTCTGTTTTTGCTCCTTTTTTGCGGCGTTTCGTGCTATTTAACATATAACTTGAGTGAGAACATGATTGAGAAGGAATAATCAATATTTCTTGCATTTAATGACTATTTTCACTCATTTATGATTAATTCCTTGCTTCTTTCAAGTTAGAAAACATCATATGCTAGACGCACATCAAACAATTCCCAGATTTAGATGTTGCTGTCCTCAGCAATAAACAGAATTTAAGCATGGGAAGCAAGGTTCAATCAATCAAGCACAACATTGCACAGACAATCATAAAGATCACTATACTAAGCATGAATGATTTTCACGTCAAACTTAAGATGATGCTCATCAACTACATTCAAACATCAGAGTCTAACTTGATTACCCCTCACAAGACATAATATTTACTCATCACTCAGTGTTTGGGGGTATTTGTCATCACTCATTCCATCACAGCTGTTGCACTGCCATAAGCTTGATCTTATTCTCAAGTTCCTGAAGATGAGGAATACCAACACATGCATGACTGATCAAAAGGGCTTCTCACGGTTATAACTTGGCTTGGCTTTAAAGGTATAATCATTTGGGAAGTAGCTGAATAATCATTGAGATTGAAACACCATTGTCATTAAGACTCAATCATATCTCAACTTATGTTTCAGCTCCACTATTTACTTGGATTCATGATTCATCCTCTTTCTCACATTTTTCTTCATCATTGCTTTTCAATTTTTGCAATTTATTTTTCTTTCCTCTTCAATCTCACATGAGAACTATTCTTCTCTTTTCCTTTTCAACTGCTTAACTTCTAGTGGAGCTTACCTCAATCACTTCTAACTTTTTGATTATTGACATTTCAATCTCAATTAAGGTAAGTTCTGATGGAAGTGGTTTAAACAGTTTAATAAGGTAATTAAAAAATTGGTCTCAGGCTCAACATGGCTAACAATGGATGATTTCTCAGGTAGCTATTTGGCCATAAGCTTAATAGAATAAAATGCCTCTATCACTTCAACCAACACATGCATTGGAGAGAATTAGATCAAGTTCTAGAGTACTACTGCAGTGAGGACTCTAAAAAAAAAGTTTATTGTATAGGCACAAACCTCACAAGCTGTGGTATCAAACTAGACTCCTCTTAATTTCAGTCTAAGCATCATTATCATAGAAATCAAACAAACGAGCAATCATAATCTCTATTCATGCTCTATGCAATGTTATGACAATGCTGCATATCATGCAATGCTTCCTCATATCCAACCAAGGAATTGACTGAGTAGCACATCTAAATCAGAATTTTGCTTTCTCATAGCAGGAATTGAAACTAAAAACACGAACTTTCTACCAAAATGAAAATAAAGATGAACATAACTAGAAAGGTTAAAATAACTCCCCTGAAGTGGCTATGAATCTGCTGAACCTTTTTCTGTGTGTGATACCTCGATTTCCGTGTATGCGGCCCCAATTCCCAGATTTAGAACATTGCTGTCCTCAGCAATAACTAAAGTAGTCAGAGAAAATACTGCTGCGCAAGTATAAACAACACACATGTGAAATGTCAAACAGAAAATAACATGACCAATGTACTGGAGAATTACAACCCAAAATACCAAAGAGGTTCAAATGACCCTAACATAAACCTAGATGGTCAAACAAAGACAATGAAAATAAAACATCACAATAAAAATTAAACACAGATAAGAGAAAGGAAATAAAATAAAATAAAAATAATAATAAAAACTCATTGGGTTGCCTCCCAAGTAGCGCTTGTTTAACGTCACGAGCCTGACGTACCCCTTGTGATCATGGTGGCTGGTAACTCGGGCTCAGTGATGACACTATACCCTTACTCAGAATTTGTGTC